GATTCTAAATATTTATATTATTTTTATTTTTTTTGTGTTACCATTTTTAGTTCCTATTATTTTTATTGATTTTGTTATTTTTTTTTTTTTTTTTTTTTTTTTTTTTTTTTTTTTTTTTTTTTTTTTTTTTTTTTTTTTTTTTTTTTTTTTTGAGATTCTCCGATCTAAATAATAATTCGTGAGGTATTCGAAGCCTCCAAAATGAGTAAAACGATTAATTATATTAGTCATATACTAGGTTTTAACTACTAACATAGGTAAGTACTTTCCTATATAATGAGTCAAGTGATGTAATTCCAACATTTTATTATTAAGTAGGACAAAAAAATCGTTTTTTTTTTAAAATTTTTTTCTTTTTTTTTTTTTTTTTTGGTTCGGATTTCTTGTCCAACTCATGAATATAACTGTAGTTAAACCATTTTACTATTCAGTCCCCCCGTGTATAATGAGTCATGTACATAAAATATTCATTTAAAAACAAAATTCTAACCATTAACAGTTATACCTAACCTAACCGATCTAAATAATATTTGTTTTTTGGACAGCTCCGGCGCTAAGGGAAATTGTTTACAGCCGAAACGGCGGGTCCGGGGGTCGCCCCGGGGGAAAAAAATTCCCCCCCCCCCCCCCCTCCTTTCCTTTTCCGTCTAAATAATATTTGTTTTTTGGATAGCCCGGGAAATGCAGCCCCTCCACCCTTGCGTACCAAAACACAGGCATTTTATTCAAGCCTCCGCAACCTCGGCATTTTGGCCTCAGCCGCTACAGCTTTCATAATGCCTGTGCTTTGTTACAGCGGGTGGGAGCTGCTCTTCCTCCGCGCCTCCGATTATTTATATACACTCTAGGGGTAAGGCAGACAAGACCACGTGGATAGTGGGGTGCTCTGATTCGGTTTTGGGTACTTTTTGAATAATTTAAAAATTTTCGGAAGCATACACTAATTGAAACATGAAGTTAATGTAATGTATGTACATTTGTCAAGTAATGATTAAATTAGGTTCAACTATAAAATTAACAAATGAGGAAATAATCGATTCGATTAGGTTCAACTTTAAAAATAACAAATGAGAAAATAATCGATCCGATTAATTTACCGACAATGTCACATCACTTATAACCAATAGAAAACGAAAATGTCACATCTCTTATAACCAATAGAAAAGCAGATAGATAATGGCGGATTGTTTATAAATTTCAATACATTTCACAAAACTTAAAAAATTTTTTTAAATACTTTGACGCATTTCCGGCAGCTAAAATCACTTTGAGGTGTTCCAATCAAGGTCCCCGAGACTCCTGCATAATCAGTATCATCAGATTCGAACGCATCATTTTCACACCCAAAGAAATTTTTAATTTTATCAATAACAATGACAATGTTTAGTGGATATGACACCTAACCACTATAATGTGACCAAATAACGTTGTCTCGTGACTAATAAATGTAAGCTACCGAGGGTCTACTCTTATTTTTTACGGTTACGAATTCTATCTAAAGCATTTGCAACTTTTGATTTTAGGTTCCGAATATCGTGTTGACTCGAGGCTAGTATATAAGAGAAATCTGATAACTGTATAAAATATGGCCAAATTGTATAGTCTAGTATCATATATTAAGGTTTACAATAAATTACCAAAATAAATAAAAGATCTTCCGACTAGAGTCTTTAAAAAGCCACTTGGTGTATTACTTTTGGAAAAAATGTACTATTCAATAAATGATTATTTGCTTGAGACACTGTAGTTGACAAAAATTTAATAAAGTATGATATGACATGTACGATACAAATAATATAAGAATTGACTTTGACTAACAATCTAAAATGTAAAATTGCTTAAGATAAATTTGCGCGCCATTGTATGTGGCAGAATATGTGAACTTACGATTGTACCTCCTTACACATTTTTGTACCATATTCTTGCAAGAAATAAATTTTTATTATTATCATTATCAAAAGTATAAAACCTATAGGGGAAGGAACCCTTCGTACGGTTTTCACATTTATTTTTTTCTTTTTCCATGAATCGATCACCTGATAGCTTAAATTTATAGTCTAACTATCTGAGATTCATATAAAAAAATGACAAATGATTTCATCTGATGGTTCAACCATAATTATGATTTAAACTAAATCTGGAAAACGTACGAATCTGCCCCATCAACGGGGCACCTTCGTACAGTGTTGGGGGTACCTTCGTACGCTGTGGGGTAGTTCCGTACGTGCGATTAAAACGACACATATAAATCAAAATGCATTTATTAGCAATGAAATTAAACATAAAAATAAAGATTTAATATCTATTAAACAAAAATAAAATACTTTTCTTATAGGGAACAAAACTTACATAGCTTTCCTTATGTAAAACAAAATTTAATTAGTTTGGTATCTTAAATTTAGAATCACATTTCTTAATCTTTGGTGCGGATTAGCACTTCTTATTTTCGGGTGTGGCAGTATAAATTCGTGGTTTTCCTGGCCGTCGTCGTCATTTTGTTTGTTTTATTACTTCTTACAACATGCGGATAGGGTCGAAATGCCTCTGGTGTCAAAACTGACTTCGAAGGAAATACTATTTGATGGATTGGTAAATTATTCAAAGCATCTGGTTCACAAGCATCAAAATCAACCTTAATAAAGATAATAAGAAATTGGTATTAATATAAATATTTATATTGACTATAGCAAAAATAGCAACACAGGACAAAGTTAATGCAAAATTTAGCAATTAGCACACTAACACAATTGTACCTACCTACCAGAGGGTTTAGTCAAGATGCCTTAACAGTAGTGTATGTAGAAAGTCAAAAACTTAATTTGTATGAAAATGATAGTTCGTGTCAACAAATTTTCATACAAATTTAGTAGTACAATTCGTTCAAATGTGCCCCATCTAGTGCTGTCCGAAAATACCCCACTAACTGAATAACAACAAAATATAACTTATTTAAATATAAATAGGAAAACGTCATAAATTAAGTATTGGAGACGTATCTTAAGTATATTTTGCTAGTTACTGATAGAATACTCTACACGAAAACTTATTTTATCTACGCTAACAAGAGACAAAAACATTGATTAAAAAATTACTTGCCGAGCGCGAAAACACGTCCATGCCTGTAACTTCATTCTCATCGGTGCGAATTTCGCGAAACTTCGTTGATGTAAAGTTGGTACAATACCTCTATTGGTACTATACCTCGACTCATGCACACATACAAATGCAAGACTGTACTTTGTTTCGTTCAAGTTTTATTTTGACTGTATGAATGTGCCCCGCGTACGAAGGGTAACGGTCTTCCCCTATATATATATATATCTTCGCTAGTACCATACTGCATCTACATGGTCCACAATATAATAAGTTATAAGGCTAGTCTAGTACCAAATATGCAAATATGTTTATCTATTATTATCCTTTAAAACTGATTATGGCTATTTTTTTAAGAACCCAGTCAACATTTTTCAATTCTGAGGCGTTTGATGGTAAAACATTGTAAATTATAAGCATTTATAAATTTGTTTTATTTACTTAAATGTTGACTAATGAGTAACACTTCGACGAAATTATAGATATAGTAATATAGTAATCAATATCAAAGCTACTCAGATGCCGAGCACTGCACACGAGCTCTCAAAACTTCTTGTATTTAAGCACAACTGTCCCATCTGTAGTGTACTACAGACTACTATCTAATCTGTATTCTGTACAGAATCTGTGTTCTGAACACGGAGGTGTGTTGTGAGTTGTGACTTGTGTAATGTGTTGATCGTTTTGCCTACTGACAGTATCGCATGTGCATAAAAATATAGTTTGAGTATTTTTCAACGATCTAACATTATTAAAGAATAAAGACATGAAAGTTAAATCGGAACAAATAAAAAAGGTACTAATCTATCCCTAATTATGGGAAGTATAATAATAATATTTCACTTTCTGAAGTAACATAACCCAAATTTCAGCTACGCTACTTTGAAAAGAGGGAAGAAAATAATTCAAAACTTATCAAAAACAGTGATGAAGTTGAAGAGTACCACGTGAAGTTAAAGCCCCATTCCAAATGGACAAAAAAAGTGAGATACTATACACATATTAATACTTACTAATTAAAAAAATTTTCTTCTATTAACTCATCTGACTTATTTTATTTTTTACCATTCAGAAACTTGAAATTAAGGACTCCAAACCACAAAACGTCAACAAAAAATTTTCTGGAAAATCACCAATTAATATTAAAAACTTAGAGAAACACTCCCGTGGGGATGGAATTTCAGACAAAGGAGTCAAACATCCTCTGTATGCAGCCAAACTACAAAAGAAAGAACTTAAATATAGATTTGCTCAAAACCAAGCAGCACGGGCTGATATACTATTAACAGAAAATGCAGGGTAAGAAAAAGGATATGTAAAAAATGTTTAAAATAATAATAATTAGAAATTTTTACAATTGCTATATATGGCATATATGCCAGTATGTGAAGATGTTATAAATATAGTCTTACAAGATTTTACATTGTCTTTATTGTAATGGAGGGGCAGGGCCCCCTTATAACCGCCTTAACCACACCCTTGATAGGAAATTAATGATATGTACAAAACTAAACAATTTAAGTATGAGACATTTAATGAAGCAATTTTTTAACTTTTCAGTTACTTAGAAGTGGATGATGATCATAGAACAACATGTATAACCCAAAAGGAGATTGTAAAGAATGTTGATATTACAGCTGCTACAAAGATTTTCAACCTTAATCTAGATTTTGGCCCATATAGGGCAAAATATTCAAAGAATGGCAGACACTTGTTACTTGGTAGCAAGAAAGGTCATCTTGCTGCTTTTGATTGGGTCACTAAAAAGCTACATTGTGAAATTAATGTTATGGAATCCATTCATGACGTGAGGTACATATTTTTTTTATAATTTCTACTTTCTAATTTTTTTTAGAAGTTACTTTTCATGTTCACACATGGATTTACAGTGTAAGCCATGCTTGCTATGTGGCCTGCCAGCTCTAATTTGAATCATTCCAAAGCTTTAAGAAGCTATTTTGAAGTGCAACCTTTACTGATGGTACTGCTATCATGTCCACAGCAATTACTCAAAAGGCCCATTTAACTATGTAGAAACCAGTATTTATGCAACATTTACATTCCAAAACAAAGTACTAAGGAATACTGATTTGCAAATGCAAATTATTCCATACTCTGATGTAGCCATATTTTGTTCCACTTCAGCCATCCATTCTTATTACAACATCGCTATTTAGTCTGACTGATTCTTATTTCCAGTTGGTTACATGTAGAGACAATGATAGCAGCCGCTCAAAAGGAATGGTTGTACATTTATGATAATACAGGAATGGAGTTGCATTGTATGAAAAAAATGGATAAAATATTGAGGATGGAATTTCTTCCATATCATTTCTTACTAGCGGCAGTTGTAAGTATAGCTATTTTTAGTTTTTAACAAGTATCAAAATGTGAAGACAACTCCATTGTTCTATTTTATGTTTGATTAGTTAATATTAATTATTTATAAAGTATTGTATTTTTATAAAAGGTTATTTACATAAACTATATATGCCTTTTTCAATGAACAATACTAATATTGTTCTTGTTTGGCAAGTATCCATTTTGGGTAAAGGCCTTCATCACACTGCTGATTTGTGTATATGTTGTGTTATATCCATTATATATATATAAAATGGTAATGGTATATCCATTAAAGTTATTGGTATTTTAAAGTGAAAGTCCTTATTGTATTTGAACAAGAAAATAAATTTGGAAAATTATTGAAATAATATCTCCTTTAAATGTCAGAGCTTTCAAAGAAAATGCTACCTCAATGATTTTACATGTAAAATAAAAAAAACTTCTCAGCCATTTTGTACACATGTTAGGCCCTTGTACCGTACAAACTATATGAAATGATTATTCATAATTTATTGACATTATAGAATGAATACGGATTTATGTCGTGGCTGGATATATCTATAGGAGAAATAGCGGGTCATTACAACAATCACTTGGGTAGGACTTCTGTGATGACACACAACCCTTATAATGCAACAATATGTTTGGGAAATTCTCAAGGTGTCGTATCGATGTGGTCTCCGACCGTCAAGAAGCCTCTTGCCAAAATATTATGCCACAAAACGCCCCTGAGCGCTATCGCTGTGGATCAGAAGGGAACGTAAGATCTATTTTCAATCGATTAAAACATTAATCAGGTTAAACACTACTCGTACACTTAAAGACATTAACTTAAAGGTACATGGCCACGACGGGTGTCGACAAAAGTTTGAAGATATGGGACATTCGTAACATGGATGGTCCTTTACAGCATTACCGACTCAGAAGTTCTGCCGTCGAGTTGGATTTCTCACAGAAGGACATGCTGGCCGTCGGATTGGGAGAAGTTGTGGAACTTTATAGGTGAGTTTTTGAAGTATAACTTCTTTATCGACGTATAGGAGAAATTTTGTAGCAAATCGTCACGTTTTTCGATTACGCGCCATTTTGCTTTTCGAAGTCAAACTTCGGCGTTGGAAAAAAATTTACCGTCACATTTTTCGGTTACGCGCCATCTTTTTCTTGTCCCTACCACGGTTGATCCGAAGAGATTCGAAGCCATTAATAACAAAAATATAATAACGATAACAATGATAGTAATAATTCTATTACAATTAATGAAATTCTGTAATAATCTTAGTAGTAATAAGGTTGCATATAGTAGATAATTTTTCGAAACATAAGGTCATAAAGAAGTTTCACTTTTTACGTGTGTACACCTTGTACACGCACACATTTTCTCTTCGGGTCATTACTTTACTAGTATAATAATAATAATAGTGTCTTTAAATAATAAAAATACGTTACAGTGACACCTGTACGAAAACAGCGGACAAACCATACATGAGACACAAAATGGCCAAGTCGATATGCAACTTCAAGTTCTGCCCTTACGAAGACGTACTCGGAATCGGGACCTCCGGTGGATTCACGAGCATTCTAGTGCCAGGTGAGATTTCCTAATCTAACACAAATATATCTATATTTATGTTTATAGAGAGATATAAGATATTGTATGCTTCTTTCTAAATCTTCGGAAGGGGATAAAATTTGTACTACGCTCCGTTGTCTCGGCGGTGCTCTGCTTTCGTTTCTATCGTGAAGCTTCTTCTTCGCATCACAGGCAGCGGCGAGCCCAACTTCGACGCGTACGAGAGCAACCCGTACCAAAACAAGGCTCAGCGCAAGGAGGCCGAAGTCAAGGCCCTGCTGGAGAAGATTCCGGCGGACTTGATCGCCTTGGACCCCTTCGAGGTCGTCAAGGTGGACGTGCCCACGCTCGAGGACAAACTCGAAGCCAAGGCTAAGTTACCGGTGAGCGACGAACCGAAGTGGTTTCTTTGGATTGTTTTATTTCCGGAAAAGGGATTTTGAACAAAATTATTAAACTTAATTTTTTATTCATATTAAAAACAGATTTATTTTCAGCACGTGAGGCGAAAGAAGATCGACGTGAAGCCGAAACGTAAAAATAAAGGACTGACTACTATTGCTAGAAAGAAAATAATTAAGGAAAAGGCGAGAAAGGTCAGTAGTTTCCGACTTCCTAATTCCACTTTAGAGTAATTTACTTACAATTAAAAGCATTAAATAAGTAATATTCATGAAACTCGAATGTGTTGTACGAGTTAGGGCGTAATTGCAGTTTCCAAAATTTTCAGGCTCAAATAATAGAAAGCATTAAAACACAGACGACCCCGAAGGAGCCGAAGGACAGACAAAAGCCGAGCAAATCGTTTGGCGTTTTGGATCGTTTCATTTCCAAACCGAAACCAAATAAATAAACCAATTTAATATCAGAAATATTTGTTTTATTCACATAGTGAACATTTTTGATTATATATTTACATGATTTTCTTACAAATGTAAAGTCAACATGATCACAAAATAAAATTCCAAATAAAATAGCATCTTAAAAATAGTGATATGAACGTTAGCAAGGGATATCGAACAGATCGCACAGTCCCTCCGACCCGCTCAGGGAGAATGTGAAGTCATATTTTGTGATGGGTGGACTCAATCTTAGAAGGTAATCTGAAACAAAAGTAGTTTTGAAGAATCGTTTGGTGGGAGACATGTTCCATCGTAAACCACTCACTTGCATTGGATGAAGTATTACTAAATCCTAACTCCGTGTAACTCTCCACTTCCTCATCGGTGTCGTCTAGATCCATTTTCTGAAAAGCACAATAAGTATTTCACCATTTGAAACTTTGAAATAACGAACTTGTCCTATAGACAAAACTCTAATATGATTGAATTCTGTCACATTTGGTACAATAATGTTTTTGTTGATAAGTAAATACATAGTCTTATATGTTCCCTTTTTCTATAAAAGGTCTAGTAAATAATCTTATTAAAGAATAATAAAAAATTTCAAACCTGTTCTTTATTTAAATCACATAATAATATAACTCCTACAGATTCATGTGATTTTAAGTGCAGTATGCTGCCTTTTTCCTGAAATAACAACAAAATATGCAATACAAATATAACTCTCCAACAATTTTTTCATTTCTGTTTTTTATATTACTTCACACTTTGCTTATGATTTTAGTTTAAATTTAGCAATTTAAAAATGGTTAAAGGTTGTTTCTTTTTATGTATAATTGTTTTGGTTTGCGTCGTATTTATAAGTTTTATATATCTAATTGCCTAAACTTAAGAATATTTTAATATATAAAGATTTTCCAGATTTCAGCAAAATAAGAATAATACCTCATATGGATTATGGCTGCAGGAGAATTCAGTGCCAAGGGGACACTCACATACAAGTATATTTTGATCTTTTTCTCCATCATAACACTTCCTTATGTCAGCTTCTGTGACATAGTGTAAACTCTGGTTGTCCGAATCATCCAGTATGTTTTTGATACTTTGCTCTATAAAGTGCATGTGCCTAAAAGTTCTTACTTGTTTAAATATTATAAATTTATATGTATGAGATTGTTACCTAATTTTATAAATTTTTATTTTGAAGTCCACATAAATCACTAACGATAAATTCACATCAGTAATGTCAAGGTAATATAAATTTCTACTATAACATTTCTTTTAACTTTCCTACTGTGAAATATGGAACATGGAATTGCAGTTACTTTTAACAATGAAGTCACTACTTTTGTCAATATTTTGTAACATTATGTTCAGAACCATTGAATAATTAGTTGTTGTTTTCTGAAGTCATAGCCATACAAGAGGAATGAACCTACTAAACAATATTTTGTTATATTTCAGAAGTTCATTTATTATAAGGCAGGTTTGATAAACAATATTTTTTCTCAAATTTTCATATTGCATTAGCAGTTTTAATAGATATCTCTTTTGAAATAAATATATTAGTTTAATTTAATAGAAAAAAAATCTAGTAAAAAAATAAGGTGAATAAGTTATCTCTTACAAACAAATGTACAAAAGAAAACACATTGCAGATCTCATTCATCTCTTTTTATACTTGGGCTGACTATAGTAATTTAGTCTAGAGCATATAAAATTAACCCATAACAAAAATTTTGTGTGTAACTATTTACCTTTAACAATTTTAAAATTATACCATCATAATTTCAGTTAAAAGAGAAAAAAAAGCTTGAGAAATTTCTATTAAACTATCATAAGATTTTAAAGTAGAACTTACTGATCTAATATTTGTTCTTGATCTTCAAGAGAACTTATTTGTTTCCTTAAGGAATTAACCTTTGCTCCAATTTCATTTGAATTTCCATCATGGCAAGCACCTCTAATAAAAAAAATTGCTTAGATACAGTTACAGTCTAGGAACCAAATAAGACCATCAATTTAACATACTTCCACTGAATGCTATTTTGACTTCGTTTCTCTATTAGCCCAATACCCTCCAAAACATTAGTGATATCATAGATTCTTCTTTTTTGCCGAACAGCTAATATTTCGGTAGCCTAAAATTCACATTAAATATTGAATAGGTGTTTATAATATTGTTATACCATTGAATTGTTTTTCTTTTATGCTTACGGATCTTAAATCCAAAACACCATCTTTTGCCTTTTGTAACAATGTCACAAAGCGAGTAGTAAGTAGTCCTAAAGACTTCTCGTATCGTTTATAACTAAATCCTGCTACCTCTGCCATAATTTGTGAAACTTAAAATAAAAATTGTTTTTTGATCAAAGAAATATTTTTTCGTCGCGGCGGGCGCGGGATATAAATTTAAATGTTGGTACTTGGTATTAAGTAAAGTCCATAGAATAACTTAGAGATAACAGAGTATTTTATGTAGTTGCATGGCTCGAGACTTGGTCACTTTTTGACAGGCATGACGCCTTATTGACTAGACGGGACTGTACAATGTACAGTGTACATTGTAGCGTCTTTCTGCATTATAGGCTAGTACTAAAGCATAGAAATCACGCTAATTTTAGCAAAAGGAATATCGGTCGATCCCTTAATATTTTTTAATTCCACGTTAATGTTAAGAAAATATTTTATGTTGTGTTTTAATTTTTACGTAGGTCGGTAGTAGTTTTTTTTCCAGACCGTACAAATTCCTTCTCTATAATAATAATTTTTCACTTTTTACGGTTTTTTTTTTTAAATTATTGAATGACAAAAATTTGCCACTAAACATAATTAAACAATTATTATATAACAACAATTTTAGCTAAGAATCATTTATTCAACTTTTTCTAGTTAAAGAAAAAAATATAAGGTTTTTTTTATAACCTTATATTTTATTAATGTTTTAATAAATTAGATATTGTCCGCGCAGGCTCTCGTCTAATATGATGACACAGATTTCACCAGACAGTGACCAGACCATTTTGTGGTAGATTGTGTGCGTTTTCCAATTACAGAGCATTTTTCGACTCAGTGCCGCACAATGCCGCATAATGCTGAAGCTTAATTGGAACGTGAATTAGTTTTCAAATGCATCAGCAGAGTGCGCTTAGTCAGTGTTGACAAAAAAATGGTCTGAATAGAGTTAGCAACCTCATTAATGTATAAATAATGTGGTAAACAATAATAATTGGTTGAAAACTTTTTACGCTTAATTTAATTTAATCACATTATTTCATTAAATTTTTTTTACTGAAATAAGAGAAAACTTTTAAAGAATATAAGGTTTTAACAAGCTAAATTAACAGTAAAATATTTAGTTTCATGTAAGAAGTTTACATCATTTACGTTTTGAGTAATATTTTTTAATGATTTCTAAAAAAATATATACTTTTTCAAAACCATTGCAATTTTTTCTAAAGTATAATCCTGTAAAGTAAATTTGTTTACAGATCCGAATTTTAAAATAAAATTGTATTCATATTTTAAATGTGGAATATAAAAAAAGTAACTATTTATACCTTCATCCATACTAATATTTATTTTTTTAGCAGTTTGAAATAACTGCTAAAAAAAAAAAGAGAATTTGCTAAACTGGTTTAGGTCCTATCTTCGTAACAGGCCTCAGTCAGTAGTTGTTGGAGGCGCTGAGTCTACTCCCTATATTGCGCGATCTGGTGTACCGCAAGGATCTCATTTGGGACCGTTGCTATTCTTACTATTTGTAAACGACGTTAAGAATCATATAAAGCACTGTAAATCGTCTCTCTTCGCTGATGATTTAAAAATTTATAAAGTTATTAACACTGTCTGTGATGCTGCTCTAGTGCAAAGTGACCTTAATGGTATACAACATTGGTGCTTTTTAAATGGTATGATCCTCAATATAAATAAGTGCTTTCATATTAAATACACAAGAAAAAAAAAACACTTGTTACTGTGTATAAGCTTGACGGCGCGCCATTAAAGGAGGTTCAGGAGATTCGTGACTTGGGTGTTATTATTGACAAAAAATTAACGTTTACATCGCAGGTCAATAAAGTAGTCACCACATCCGCACGAATGCTTGGATTTCTTAAACGGAATGCGGATTGTTTTGGTTGTACGACTAAAACAATTTTGTACAACGCTCTGGTGCGCAGTCATGTTGAGTTTGGTAGTATTATATGGAATCCACTATATGCGATCCATTCGCAACGCGTTGAAAGCATACAAAGATCTTTTACGCGACACCTAGCTTTCATAAGCAGAGGATTTTCACATAGACAACCGTACCATCAGCGACTTAAAAAATTTAATATGTTATCTCTTAACAATCGGAGAGCTCTAGCCGGTGTTACATTCTTGTATAAATTGCTCAACAACCATTTACAGAACAGTGACCTTTTACAGGAAATCAAATTTGTCGTCCCTTACTCATTCCCTAGGTTTAAAATTAACAATATATTCCAAATTCCATCTGCCAAAACCAACCTAGGAGTTCAGGCACCTCTCGTTCGAATTCTTCGCGATTTCAACAAACTGAACACAGCGTATCCAGAGCTGGATATTTTCGGTAGTGGGCTGATCGGTTTTAGAGAAAGCATTGTGGGGTGCCTTTCTAGAACCTAATTTCTTTTTTTTCTGATGATTTTTCTTTTTTTTTCTGCACATAGTTGTTGAAAATTTTATTTTATTTTATGTTTATGTTAAAAAATTGATTTTATTTTAATGTGTGCTTGCATTGTCGTGTGTGTTTTAGTTGTGTTTTTTTTTTAATTTCTATTTGATTTTTTTACTGAGAAACTTATGCTTGCATTAACTGTCACACATTTTAGATGTGGGATTTTGTGAAATAGTTGGTGGACTTATGACTGTGTGTGATGTTGTGGGCTTTATAACTAAATAAATAAATAAATAACTTTAATTATTTTCAAAATCTACGACGAAACGAAAGCCTTACAAATTTTTCAACAATAAATAATATTTACTAACGAAAATTTCGATAAATGCCAACTTAAAGAAAAATACTGGTCAATTTTCTGTCACTGTGTTGGTATTGTTTGCGAGAGCATTCGTTTTGAGAGTGCTCAATTGTGCGAAGCGTTGCTGTAGTTGGAACACTCAACGTTGAGCATTATGCCGCAAAATGCGCTCTAGTGCTGTAATTGGAAAACGCACACAGATACCACGTACCGGTCCAGATCTGAGGTCAGCAGAAGGTCAAGGTAATTGGAAATATAGTCTTCGAGATCTGGCTATCGAGTACCTTCATTGACCAATTGGGAGAGGTTAAAAGAAGTCGCAATGTCGTAGACTACTCAGCCTGCGTGATGTGAACAAGCTGTGCTGTAAGGATCTTAGTTGCTTAGTTGTAGGCCGGCTGCATCACATCTTAGGTAAAAACTAAAAAGTCTAGTCTCACGAACAGCCGAGTGAGATCGTTATACACAACCATAGATAATTTTGTCAATTACCGTGTCGCGGATCATGGATTTAATGCCACTTATAGGCAGCGGCACGTAAGTCTAGCGCTGGCCGATACGTGGAGAGGATTGCTGCGCATGTGTACTGTCGCGCGGGGGACGGAATGCGACTGGAGAGCCAATCGAAACTCTTCATTCCGCTAGCCCCCCTCAGGTACCTTATTTTGTACTTCTGCGCAATAACGGTCAGCGCTAGAGTTTCGTGCCGCTACTTGTATCTACCTTTTATATTAGGTCGTTACATATGAAATTGGCGTTTTGTACGGAAGGAACAAAAAGTAGATTTTTGAAGTGGAACTTCTCAAGCCCATGAGGGTAAAATTTTTACCGATGAAACGCAATAATAATAATATTAGCGTCACGAAGATGTGCACCGTTTTTGTCGAAAAAAAGGGACAGAGCGACGGGAAAATTTTACGAATTTTCGGTTTATCCATGGCGCCAAAAGGGTAAAGTCCACTGTTTCGACTATTCCTTGGTCTCTGGTGTGTACCAATGTATGTACGAAATGACGCAGAAACCACTGTCTCTCAGAAAACCGGCGTGAAGTGATGCAAAAGGTTCGCCTTCTTGTACTCGCGTTTCGTGCGGTGAGAGAGATTCCCGGAGCCCATCCCCCCACACAAGAAATATGAAGGTGCAGAAAAAACAGAATCTACCCCAGGGGGGTACCACACGCGCTCGCGGTGGAGAATCCCCCTCTGGGCGTCCACCACCGGGACCTTCGTATTCTGGGGGGGGCAATTCTGCGCTCTACAAAAATAGTAATCGTCCTCGGGGCAAACGGAGCAATTATACAAAGGCAACCCCGTCCACACTCGCCGTGGACTTCACAAATGTTAGGGGGCTTAATTCTAACATCAACGCTGTCCACTATCATCTAGAGACTGCGAAGCCGGCCTTGCTCTTTCTTACCGAGACTCAGATATCCTCCCCGGCTGATACTTCCCACCTATCCTACCCGGGGTACAAATTGGAACATTCATTTGTGCCGCGGGCTGGAGTTTGCGTGTACGTCAGAGAGGATATCTGCTCTCGTCGCCTCGGGACGCTTGAAGGAAGGGACCTATCTAACCTCTGGCTGCGCGTAGACTGCGATGACCATCCGCGATTCTACGCATGTCTGTATAGGTCCCATAGCGGAAATACCGAAACTGACCGACTCATTGAGCACATCCAAATGGCTACAGATTCCCTGCTCGAAAGGGTTCCTACCGCTGAAATCGTGATACTTGGCGATTTTAACGCCCACCATGCCGATTGGCTCGGCTCTGAAACCACCGATCACGCGGGAAGATCCTTTCACGACTTTGCTTTAGCCTACGACCTGACACAAATGGTCCCTGCGATTACGCGAATACCAGATGTGGATGGTCATAAACCCTCTTTGTTGGACCTTCTGCTGACTTCTCATCCGGAGAACTATCAAGTCTCTGTTGACCCGCCATTGGGTTCATCAGATCATTGTGTAGTCCGGAGTACTGTGCCATCTACGCGCCCTTCACGGCCCCGCTTTATGGGTTGTCGCCGTATTTGGCACTATAAGTCAGCACATTGGGACGGGATGCGGTCTTTCTTTGCGTCCTACCCTTGGGGGCCTATGTGCTTTTCGCCGGAAGCTCCAGATTCCGTCGCCGCCTCTGTCGCCGATATGGTTCTGCAGGGCATGGAACTCTTTATTCCATTTTCTGCGGTGCCGATCGGTGGCAAGTCTCAGCCCTGGTTTAAACGTTCTTGCAAGGCGGCCTCGCATCGAAAGCGAGAATGCTTTAAGGCATGGGCGGAAGCGGCGAAATCTCGTGATGCCAATACCAGCGAACTTAAAAAAGCATATAACTCAGCCTCCAGGTTCTTCAAACGGGAAATCTCTAAGGCAAAGTCAGAGCACATTGCCAGATTTGGCGAGAGATTGGCCCAACTCCCTTCAGGGACTCGAGCCTTCTGGTCTCTCGCCAAAGCTGTCCAAGGGAATTTTTGTCAGCCCGCCATTCCGCCACTGCACAGGGAGGATGACTCTCTGGCCCACACTGCGAAGGAGAAGGCTGACCTTTTGGGCTGTCTCTTCGCGTCTAACTCGACTTTGGATGACCGAGGGAGATCACCACCGACTATTTCGCGGTGTGATTCTTCGATGCCGGAAATCACATTCCGGCAACGTGCTGTTCGCAAAGCACTATCTTCCTTGGACATTCATAAGTCGAGCGGGCCGGATGGTATCCCCCCAATTGTGCTGCGTACTTGTGCTCCTGAGTTGGCTCCGGTCTTAACGCTCCTTTTCCGGTACCTGTACTCGCTCGGCACAGTCCCGAAGTGCTGGAAGACCGCTTTGATACATCCGATCCCTAAAAAAGGCGATCGCTCTGATCCGTCCAACTATCGCCCAATAGCTATAACCTCCTTGTTCTCCAAAATAATGGAATCCATTGTTAATTGCCAGCTCTTGAGGTATCTAGAGGGCCACCAGCTGATTAGCGATTATCAGTACGGCTTTCGTCGTGGTCGTTCGGCTGGTGACCTTCTTGTATACCTTACACATAGATGGGCAGAGGCAATTGAGTCCAAGGGGGAGGCGCTAGCGGTTAGTTTGGACATAGCGAAAGCCTTCGATCGGGTGTGGCACAGAGCACTGCTCTCGAAGCTTCCAGCCTATGGGCTTCCCGAGAAATTACGCGATTGGATCTCCAGCTTTCTGGCCGATCGGAGCCGATCAAGGTCGTCATCGACGGAGCATGTTCCGACCTAAAACCCGTAAACGCTGGGGTCCCACAAGGCTGTGTTCTATCCCCGACCCTATTTCTTCTGCATATCAATGATATGTTGAAACTTAGCAACATTCATTGCTATGCGGATGACAGCACTGGGGATACTTTTTACACTGGCCGGGCAGGTATTTCTCGGGCAATTGTTGATGAGTACCGGAACAAACTTGTGTCTGAAGTCGAAACTCTACTACGTGGAGTCTCAGATTGGGGCAGACAAAACCTAGTCCAATTTAACCCCAAGAAGACACAAGTTTGCGCGTTTTCCGCTAAAAAAACACCCTTTGTCGCTACTCCTCTTTTCGAAAACACTCTTCTTAAAGCCACAGCCAGCATTGGAATACTTGGCGTTGACATATCGAGCGACGTTCAGTTTCGCGGTCACTTGGAGGGAAAGGCTAAATTAGCCTCCAAAAAGCTTGGTGTGCTCAGCAAGGCGAGACGGTACTTCACTCCGGGCCACCGCATGCAACTATATAAAGCGCAAATTCGGCCCCACATGGAGTATTGCTCTCACCTCTGGGCAGGGGCTCCCCAGTACCAGCTCCTTCCACTTGACCGTATACAACGCAGAGCGGTTCGAATCGTCGACGACCAATCCCTCTCCGAGCGGCTTGATCCTTTGGCGTTGCGTAGAGATGTGGGGTCACTCTGCATCTTCTACCGCATTTACCATGGAGAGTGTTCAGAGGAGTTGTTCGGATTAATACCTGCAGCTGAGTTTCATCATCGGACGTCGAGGCAGAATACGAAATTCCACCCGTATCACCTCGACGTCCGACGTTCCACAACTGAGCGTTTTTCAAGGCAGTTTTTGCCGCGCACCACCACTATGTGGAACCAGCTGCCCACTGAAGTATTCCCGAACCAATTCGACTTAGGGTCCTTCAAGAAAAGAGCGTACCAATTCTTAAAAGGCCGACAACGCACTCGCGAGCCCTCTGGCATTGAGAGTGTCCATGGGCGGCGGTATCACTTAACATCAGGTGAGCCTCCTGCCCGTTTGCCCCCCGTTCTATAAAAAAAAAAAAAAAAAAAAAACTCCTTCGGATTGCGCTTAAACGTCGTCAAACACTGCTCTGAAGTGGTCTCAAGGTGGCGCTTGTTGTCCGGAGTTAGCAAACGCGGCACCCATTGCGCCTACAGCTTTCTCATGCCCAATACTTCGTGGAGAATATGACCCAGGCGGTCTTTTGAGATGCCTACTGACTCAGCTATCTCGCGCATCTTAAATCGGTGGTCTGCCAATACGAGATCTTGAATTTTTTAATGTTACCCTCCGTAGTAGCCATTTTCTGGGCACCTGGGCATGGATCATCAAAAATCGACGTGCGACTACATTGAAACTCGTAAAACCACTTTGACGGTCGTTATCAAAGTGATCTTGCTCTTTGATTTTGCTCGAATCACCGACTGATATTGCTCATTTTCCATTTTTCTGAAATCCGCGGACACGCTCGCTTCCACACGCGGTCAAAACAAAAGCTACGCATCCGATTCGGCTGAATTTTTTACAGTAGCTGTCTACGAGAATATTCGAAGCGATGTAAAATTGCCATTGCCCTAGTGGTGCTATCGGGCGGTGAGGCTAAGTACTTATAGGACCGCCCTCTAACATCAGCATTTGGTTAAGGTTTAGGACCACCAAGCAAAAAAGAACACGAATGTAAAGTGGGTGTCTCAGTCAGATAAGTCATATAACGTTTAGTCAGGCCGACTTTTGCCTTTTTATGATCTTTTTAAAAATATATGGATCACAGAGTAAGTTTGTAGTTTGGCTCTGACCTGTAAAGACAGAGCAAGATATTTAAACATTCATTATACTGAATGAATTAAATTTGAAATGTCACTAGCTAATTTCAGATTCATCTGTGAATGTGTCAGTTTATATTGCCAAAGGGGAGTTATACGTTGTCTTATAAATAAATGGTAAAATAATACAAGTATTTATCTTGGTTGAAATACCGAGTATCAGAGAAAATGGCAAACTGTGGTGAATATATAAAAAGTCAATTTCCTTTGATTGACGAAGAATTAAAAAAATATGTAGAAGGTAAGGTTCTGCATTCAGATATAGAGGTTAGAAAAATAACAATTATTGTTATTACTTTTTCGTATAAGCTTTTTACAGATAAAGCATTTATAATTTTTAAGATGTTCTGGATAGCAGTGCTGGTGAATTTGAAGACAAAGAGGAAGTATTTGAAGCTGTGGGTGAAGTGTTACAAGGAATATCAGAAAAGTCAGAAGAGGACATAAGGTATTTATTTATCTAGTAGTTTGCACCTTTTTTCCTTGTTTATATTAGTTACCTTTCCAGTAACACTTATCGGTATTATTGGAAACAAGCCCTAGTGTCTCAACTTGTGAAAATTATTACAGCATTCAGTTTTCGCAAGTGTCTCTAATAGTTTCTTATTATCTTACATAAACTTGAAAACCTTTTTTATTACTTATTTTTCCAAAACAACTATTTCAGGGATATATGTGAAAAATTGCTTCATATGCTACAACCAGAAAAAACAAAAACTTCTAATGGTCCACGGAAAGTTCTCGATGCTCCCATACACTTAGCTTCAATGACAGTCCCAGTAATGGAAAACAATGATGTAAAGAGCATATGGCTTCAGACAAGGGATGATAATTTTGTAAGTATTAATGTGTTCATCCTTAAATATTGGTGCTGTTTTCTTGTAAGGGAAGGGAAATGCGCACTAGGTTTAGTTTAATTAACTGGGAAGCCAGAGAAGTCATGCCTACTCAAATGTGAATGGGGCGGTGGCGATGTGTGACGGGTTGTTGAATTCCCTCAATTCGCTGGATCACACGTCATGCCTGTGAACAGGTGCTGCTACCAGAAACTGGACTGCAAGGTTTCTGTTCAGTTTTTAATTTAATGCAAATAAAAAGCAGACCGTATCTCCCTCCTTTCTTCTATCTATGTGTGCCATAGTAAAATTAAAAAAATACCAAAAAAAAATCCTTTTTATGGAATATAAGATAGAGGGATCACTTATTCCAGGTTTTTAAATTTATATTGGTAGGCCCTACTCATCGGCAAAGAAGACAGGTGGAATAAGTGATCCCTGTATCTTATATTCCTAAATAAACATATTTTTTTTATTTATTACTGGTTCTTATAGTAAAGCACTATATAAAAAAATATACATATTTTAAATTGAATTTTTAGAAAGTTGATGCTAGAAAACTAGAAAAAGCTGAGGCAAAACTACAACAGAAGCAGCAAAAACATAAGGAGGCAAAAGTACCTGTAGCAATTCCAGTTTTACAAACTGCCACGGCATCACAGGTCACCTCAAAGAAAGACAGTAAATTAGAAGCAAAAGGCACTAACAGGACTCAAGATATAAGGATAGAAAACTTTGACATTGCCTATGGTGACAGGTATGCAGTTCATTTTGTAGCCAAAAGATTGATCCAAAATATTTCTGTGTCCAGCACACAGTACACAGAGCCTAAATGTCCGAGAAAAAGCATCTTTACACTATACAGTTTATTGGTTGAAGAACCATGATTTTTTTTTTCATACATAATATTGATCTTTTACTTAAAATATTTTAACCCTTAATTTATGAGTCCTGTGCATCACCTCGGTATATTTATTGTGTGTATTGTGCATATAGAAAATCTTCTTGAGTTAGGAAACTATTAAAAAAGGCATCTTTTAAAAAAATGAAATTTATCTAACTGTCACTGCAACATAAAATACCTTGACCAAAATCTTTTCCGGAAAATTTGGGATGACTAATTGGTTACGAGCCAACACTTCTACAGTTCTGAGTAAATTTTCTGTGTATCTGCATTGAAACACTGGTTTCTGGCAGATGATGCAGAATTGTATGAAGGATATTTTTTTAAAATTTAAAAACCACCTTCATATTGTTAATAATTAGTCAGGATACGTTAGAAATATTTATTTCTCAATTCAGTGTCTTTATTCCTATATTGATTAATGCTTGCTTCTCTCTCCTAAAGAATGACAAAAGTAAAGTTCGATTTCACTTTACCAAATAACAATAATCTAATACTAATTTAGATCTTACTTATTCATAATCACATTCCCACACTCCTTATGATTTTAATGAATGTTATTTCAGAGTATTATTACAAGGCGCAGATCTGGTTCTAGCGTTCGGTCGTCGTTACGGTCTCGTGGGAAGAAACGGTTTAGGCAAAACCACACTTCTCAGGATGATATCGGCAAAACAACTGAAGATACCATCACACATTTCAGTTCTTCACGTGGAGCAAGAAGTCGTCGGTGACGACACGATTGCACTGCAAAGTGTACTCGAATGCGATACGGTCAGAGAGACTTTGTTGAAGAGAGAGAAGGAAATCACCACTTCTATCAATAACGGGTAAGCTTTAGGTTTAGCTAAGGTCTTCTGAGGTCTTCTAAGGAAGGCAAAGAAACAATTTAGTTTTATTGTTGAGATGAGTCTTGAGGTGTAACGAAAATAAAATATCCATGTTGCAGTTCGACGGACCCCAGTTTGTCATCAGAATTAACAGAAATCTATGCACAACTAGAAAACATCGAGTCGGACAAAGCACCCGCGAGGGCTTCCATCATACTGAACGGTTTAGGATTCTCGTCGGAGATGCAGGCTCGAGCCACCAGGACCTTCTCCGGAGGGTGGCGCATGAGGCTCGCGCTGGCGAGGGCCTTGTTCTCCAAGTGGGTCCATAAATTAAAATAAACCATATTACGATTGAAAGTACAAGTTTAAAAAGTCTTAAACCTTCGCAAAATGAAAAAGATTTCGTAAAAATAAATGAAAATGTGAATTTCAGACCCGACCTTCTGCTCCTGGACGAGCCGACGAACATGTTGGACATAAAAGCCATAATCTGGCTCGAGAGCTACTTGCAGAACTGGCCGACCACCCTCCTGGTGGTCTCCCACGACAGGAACTTCCTCGACACCGTCCCGACGGACATTATGCACCTTCACTCGCAACGGATCGACACTTACAGGTGAGGCCCGAAGGTTCCTCTCGCCGAGAGCCGATAGATACGATGTTCTGCAACCTCCTTCTCTCGCGCAGAGGCAACTACGAGCAGTTCCACAAGACGAAGACGGAGAAGCTGAAGAACCAGCAGCGCGAGTTCGAGGCGCAGCAGCAGCATCGGGCGCACACGCAGGACTTCATCGACCGCTTCCGCTACAACGCCAACCGCGCGTCTTCCGTGCAGAGCAAGATCAAGATGCTGGACAGGCTGTGAGCGCCTTCTCTCTTTTCTTTTCTCGTCGCTCTCCGCCTCCGCCCGTCGGTCACGTGTCTTTTAAACCCCAGGCCCGAGCTGAAGCCGATAGAGAAGGAGGTCGACGTGGTGCTGAGGTTCCCGGAGACCGAGCCCCTGTCTCCGCCCATCTTGCAGCTCAACGAGGTCGGCTTCCGCTACTCCGAGGGCCGGCTCATCTTCACCGACGTCAACCTCGGGGCCACGCTCGAGTCCAGGATATGTATCGTGAGTTCGCGAACAAAACTCTACCTCTATCTCTTCCCCGGGTCGTCCGTCTGCCCCTCCCGGACTCTGCCTCGATTACGATTTATAGACATTTTAGTAGATCTCGCCACGACTCTCGATGGAATCGAAGGCTTTTTCCTAGACCTGCCCATGTATGCGTATGTGCGTATGTGCCTGGGCGATTGTCCCCTTGGAGACTCACCCGGGGCAACACTTGACGAATGACAGGTGGGCGACAACGGCGCGGGGAAGACCACCCTGCTGAAGATAATCATGGGCATCCTGTCTCCTACGAGCGGACTCAGGAGCGTGCATCGAGGGCTCAAGTTCGGGTACTTCTCGCAGCATCACGTCGATCAGCTGGAGATGAACGTCAACTCCGTGGAGCTGCTCCAGAGGAATTATCCCGGTGAGTCATCGAATGGTTTATTCGGTTTATTATTATTATTACTCGTTCCGAGAGGCGCATCGTGACGAGGGCTCTGTCGACAGGCAAGACGATAGAGGAGTACCGGCGGCAGCTGGGCAGCTTCGGCGTGAGCGGGGAGCTGGCTCTGCAGACGATCGGGAGCCTGTCCGGAGGCCAGAAATCCAGGGTGGCCTTCGCCAACCTGTGTCTCGGCAGCCCCAACTTCCTGGTGCTCGACGAGCCCACCAACCACCTGGACATCGAGACGATCGAGGCGCTGGGCAAGGCCATCAACAAGTACTCGGGCGGCGTCATCCTCGTGTCTCACGACGAGCGCCTGATCCGAATGGTCTGCCGGGAGCTGTGGGTCTGCGGCGGAGGCTCCGTCCAGAGCGTCGAGGGCGGCTTCGACGAGTACCGCAAGATCGTCGAGCGGGAGCTGCTGGACGCGCAGAAGTGATCTCCGGTCTTCGAGTCTTTCAATATTTATTTATAACTGTTCTTATCGTAAGGTTAAATGAAATACTGATTATTTTGTTCCAATTTTTATTTTCATACCTCCGACCTCTCATCCTCATTAAATAATTCGGCGGACGATTCCCACAATGAATCGAAGCGCCGCTGTACCATGGCAAATTAATTAATATAAAATTAACTTAAAGAATATTTACAAATAAATTTTCATAATAAAATACACAATATACAATTAAAATAGTGACTCGATGACGGAACAAACTCTCGATCGATCCAAATGAAATAGAATGCGATATACGAAGAAAGCTCACTAAGAACGAAGAAGCCACAATCGGACATTCGGTCTAATGTCTACTGTAAATGCATATTTCGGTCGGTTGCAACTTGCAACGCCACAAGCGTTACTCTATTATGTCGGATCTATATAAAAAGGTAAAATAAATTAATTTGTAACTTTGACTATTGCTTGTCGGCTCGTATGCGATATGCGGTAATATTAATAACTATATCGGTATGGCATTCGATGATCGTTCGTGATATAAATTAATAAGTAACGCTAGCAGATCACAAAATACTTAAAACTAAATTTTGTCCGGTCGGCGAAGACAAATGGCGATCGAATCACTCGACTCTCGCCGACGCGAGAGGGGGTCGTTTTGTAAAATACCATTTGATAATATTATTGATGCTTCTTACGCCTGTTCTTGTTTTTGTCGGTGTTCCTCAGGACCTCGGCGTAGGACAGTTCCAGTTTCCTGAGCTTGTGGATCTCTTGGGACGCGGTGCTCTGTTTGATGTCCCAGGAGTCTGTTTCTGGATTCCATCCTTGGTAGATCTTGCCGGTGCGGCCGCTCACGCTGGGCGTGGGCGAGTTGAGGTTCCTGTTGTAGAACTGGAGCGTGGAGCCGTTCCACTCGGCCTCCGCGGGCCTCGCGAGGGGACTGACCTCGATGGGTCTGTAATCTCTGCGTTTCTTGTTGGAGGACTTCTGGTAGATGATCTTCGGTGGCGACGGAAAGACGGGCGAGTCGGCTCCCTGTCGATCTTGACTGTGCTTGCGATTGCGATGCCTGGACTTCTTTCTAGTGGCCGCGATGTACTCCAGTGGCTGACGCACCAGAGGCGTGAGCACGCGTTCTTTCTCCTTTTCTCTCTCCTTCTCTTTCCTTTGCTCGCTGGCTTTCGGTTTCTCGGTGCTCTCGGCCACTGGTTTGTTTTCTTTGTTGCTTTCGACGCTCGTCTTCGGCGTGGCTTCCTTCGGTTCGGAAGCTAGTTTGGGCTGCTCCTTCTCTTTGGGCGTCGAAGATTCGGGAGCGGTGACGTCGGACACTGGAATGGACTGTTCGGACATGACAGACGACAGGACGCTCTGGGTGTCGTCGGTGAAGTCGCCCGGCGGCTCCTCCGTGGCGGGCGTGACGGGTGGCACTTTGCCGGTCGTCGTGTCGTCGAGCAAGGGGAGCTGCTCTCCATCGTCTTTGTTCTCTGCCGCTTTCTTCAAAATTGTAAAAATCTCCTTAAATAATTCTCGGTATTCAGGCCTGTTGCGGAAACGACTGTCCATCGGACTGACGTCGTCGTAAATACTAAACCGGTAATCCTCGCCGTCTGCGATTGTGCACAAGAAGGAGCCGGGTCTCTCGCGTTCGGTTTGTGTCGCTTTGTTGCTAGTCTCGTCTGAGAAACCGGAGCTCGAAGTTTCGGCCTCCGAGAAGTCCGGTGTCTGGATGATCTTTTTGCGCGACGTGGGCTCCGTCTTCTTCGGTCGGTTATCTTTTTGAGCTTCTTCGCCGTGGCCGCTTTCCTCGTCGGTGTCCTTAACGCTGAACTGGCTGAAGTCTCCGGAGGTCTGCAGCTCGTCGTTGAGTGAGAGCGGCCCGGTCTGGTTTTGTGCGCTCGGCGAGGCCGTCTTGTTCTTCTTGATGTTTTTGCCTTGCGACAGTTGTACCTCGAGTAAAGCCTCATATTTCTGCACGAGCTCCCGGTACGGGTTCTCGTGGCCGTCTTCCTTATTTGCCCAAATACCTTGAAGTAACTTTTCCTTGGCGTTCTGCAATAAAAGAAATATTAATTTGGTGACCTTATGTCTTTTTTTTCTTGATTAATTTATTTTCGTGAGTTATTATTTGCGTATTATGAAAGTATAAACTGTTTTCAATGGTGGGGGAAAAGGCCATGAAGGTTACATTTTTGTTACTATGTGAACCTACCTAATATTATTATAAGAGAAAATATTTTAAGAAAATGGCAAGAATATGATTAAAAACGAAACTAGCCCGAGTTCAGAAGTAAACAAACGATAACAAAATTCAAGTAATTAGTCAAAATACACCCATTACTCTTATCGTTATAGACTCATTATTGAAAATGTTAATCAAGTCACACACATAATTATCTGGTTAGTACAAATAAATATCACAACATACATTACAGACATTAGACACATTGATTCTGAAAACCAATGACCCACACCGATGACTGAATAGCGTGCAGACTCTTAGTCTAATAACGTGTCAGTAATGGACGTACCTTCGACTACATGCGATATATCCAAAGAAAACTACTGCAAATGCGCTTCATAATGCATATGCAAAGCGTGATCAACAACATCAGGGGCAGTTGGAAAATAAGTGTTGCCTAGAAACGATTTAAACACTCGAATCAAATTCATGAGGGATAGGGAGACCTTGTGATTAGATGTAGGAATTTCCGGGAATCATTTTGGGCCTTTTTTACAGTCTTCTACGGTCTGCATTTTTGTGATTTAAAAAAAAATCTCTAATTAGAAACAAATTAAAGCTTTAAAGGTTTTGGTGTCCTGAGTAAGGATAGGATAACTTTCGGATAATTGTCTTAAGAAGAAATGTGATGAATGAGAGTCGGAGGGACCTTCAATTGGGATTACCTTTGTTGATTGTCGTTTCTTGCTTCAGTTATAAGTTAATATTAGTAAATTTATAGAAAATTTGAAAATGTTAAAGGACAGACACAATAAATCTAATAACCACCGTGAACTTAACACTGAGCATATCAAAGTGCAGACATTAATTAAAAGTACAGGCGCCAATGTATTATCGAAATCGATATATTTCTAAGGAGATTTAAAAAAAGTATTTTGTTTACGCTCAAGTATTAAGTAGACAGATAGAGAGGTTAAACTACAGTTATATAGGATCAAAAGCGACAGAGGAGTAAAAGGCACAAAGCGGGGGATACTGACGTCGAACTTCATAAGTTTGCTGTTGACTTCGTCTTTGGGGCTCAGGTTTCCGGTTGGAGTGAGAATGAGAGAGGAAATAGCACTTCTGTCGTCTTCCTCTCCGTCCAGCATAGAAGACATGTCGTCGCGCTCTATGCCGCGGAGACATCTGATGCACAATTGTCCTTGCCTGGAACAGGTTTTCATCATTTAATGAATCATTTTAATAGGTAATGTTTCTTGCTCTAAAGTTATATGAAACTACTAACTATTAAAAACATCATCCGAAACAATTAATTATAAAGTGGCTTTAATATATTAATGCATCCAAGTAGATACCTACTAAAATTACTGCTACTACTACTGCTCACGAAGGCAAATAACGCAATATATTATGTAAGGTGCATACCTGACTTCTTCAAGGATCGAGAACTCCTCGTGCATCGACTTAGGTTCGTCATCTCGCTGGTGCCAATTCCTCAACTGTTCCTGTAACCTGTTATTCTCCTGAATAACTGAAGCCAACTGTTCCTCTAGTTCAGTGACTCTCCTGTGCTCTTGTGCAAATGCAGCCTTATTCTCTCTGAGCTCATCGCTGATTCTCAACAAGTCTTCGTCCTCTTTCGTAAGCTCCGGTAAGGGCGCACTTTTGAGAGGAGTACCGTTAGTTTCTGTTTTTTTAACGATAGCGCTAGTCGTTTCCGGGGGCTTTTCTTTGGGTTTTTCGCTTTCGGGCTTTCGCTCCGATCGCCGTCTAAAAATTTCCAATTGGCTATTTAGGTCGTCCACAGTCTTTTGAAGCTCTTCACATTTGCCCTCCAATGTTTCAATGTTTCCGCATAGCCTGTAGTAAAATTCAGTTTTCATGAATAAAACAATTTACCTACTTTGGAATAGTCTTGCATATTTCACAAGTGAAGGAGAATACCGCTTACTACTCATCTTATTATTGGTAATAATTCGTTTAACAGCATTGATTAAAACATAAATCCATGTGCATCAACGAAGGCTTTCAATAAGAAATATAAAGGAAACGGCATGTGACGGCATTGAACTCACGTTTTAATGTGTTTCTTGTCGGCGGCGTGGTCGACGGCGAGCCTGTGGTTGGCGCGCTCCAAGTCTTGGATGCTCACTTCCAACTGCTCGTAGATTCTCAGTCTTGAGTCGTTTACTTCGCGTAGTGCCACCGTTTGTTTGGTTAAATACTAGAAGACAAAAAATAATAAAATAAAACATGCAACTCAGATGTGTGTAGGGTGTGTATTATGATCAAAATTAACCTCAATTTCCTGTGCCTGGTCTTCAATAACATTTTGATGTTGACGTAGCCCTGTTTCAAGTTCTTTGTTTCTCTCTAACAGAGTCTTTCCGAGTTCTGCCGCTAACTGCAAATCTGCGGACAAGATAGTTCAATCATTACTATTGTAGGGAGACCGGGTACAAAAGTAACACTTTGTACTTCACACTTGATTTGTGGCCAGGTTTTAATATTGTCATTAAATTAATATAACCATATATAAATTCAGTTTATGTTCTTTACACTAGCAGCTCGATTTTTTTTACTATGGTGTGTTTTATATGAATAACAGAGAGTTAAAAAAAAATCATCAGTTGTTACTTTCGACCACGTAGGCAGGTCGAAAGTAACAAGACGAAGAGGTTGGTAATTAATACAATATTATATGTCTAATCAACAATTATTTATTTAAAAAAGTAAAAGTTCTGCATTCTGCATCCATCCACTAGCATTGCCAGCTCCGGCACAACCAACAGGACCCTCAAGAATCATGTGGTCTTGGAATTGTTTAAATGGGAATACGAAAAAGGAGGTATGTGTCCTCCTTGAGCATTAATGGCAACCGCAACAGTTCCTAATCTTTCAAGTTCTGAGGTTACTGCACCTACTTGTTTAGTTCCTTTTTGAGCAACAATCTTGCTAGGTTTGTTTGTTACTTGTGTACCCATAGGACTATATTACTTTTGTACCCTTCCTCATTTTTGTTGAAACATGAAATATAACTTAAAAACGGAACGTGCTAAACAAAAACAAATTTAAACAATGTACAATCAATCTAATCAAAAATAGATATGCAAACAATCAGATTACTACCATCCTTTTACGACTATGTAAACATTAAATAACAAAATATCGAAAAACTTAGTTTTCGTTTGTAAAAACACGTAGTATCCTCTCACACAACCTAACAGTGCGTGGAGTACGCGGCGACTAACTACAAGTGAGGGGGGCACTCTCAGCTATCGCCTGACGGCGGCGAAGCTGTTTTCGCCCATTGGATGAATCTAGAGAGCATTTGTTACTTTCGACCCGCCGTTACTTTTGTACCCGGTCTCCCCTACTCTGAATTGAAAGCTCACCTTCACGTTCCCTGATAAAATGTTTTAAATACGTATAGTGCATACTGATATTCTTTCTATACGCAGACTTTGATCAAAGTTTGACGTAAAATAAAAGTGTTTTCTCGAGCAGGGTTTATACTATCCTCCACCACATCAAATCTAAATCCGCAACAATATAATATGACCAACCTCGTATTAAACGGCAAAATAACAGACACGTTACTGTTAGTATTATTCGGTAACAAAGAAGCTTATATGATATAAATTTGGACACGTGAAAGGTTCCAGCAGCCTTGTTAAAAATAAAAATGTAGAAAAATAAGGTCATTTGGTAACAGCCGTGCTTATAATGATTGAATACCAATGTTTACAGAATATGTTGGTTTTGTGGTACGAAAGTTAAAAATGTTAACAGAGACAGAGAGTTGTCCATGGACCATGTCAAAGTAGGCTTATAAATACACACATTTCCCATTGACACGTTTAATATGCTATAACATAATATTTCGGCAGTTTTGCTCCTACTCTTTAAGTTGTAGTATAGTGACGAAAGATATGAATGTTTATTTGATTAAATGACTTTTATTGCTCACAGGTAGAAATATCACGCAACGCAGAGCAATTTAAGTTTTTACGACGTAGTTTGTTCGAACACTTCTCGCTCCAAATATTAGCAACTACAAACCTTAGTCTCGCTTGGAATATCCGACTTACAAATTGTGATTCTTAGAGCTTAAAGATGAACTCGTAAACCTATGAGACAGAAATAGGAAGATAGAGAGAACATAAAACCTACAACTATATTATAACTATCACGACAATTATTGTCTACTGTCTGGGTGCAGATCATTCTACCTCAGATGTCAATCCTGGGTTTCCAAATCAATAAATTTAAAACTAAGATATAATCTGTCGGTGCTTGAACAATATCGTGCCACGCATGTTGGCAGTTCAGTGGCGATTATGTACATTATAGTATAGGCCTTTAGGTAAATACCTTTTCAGGAGTTCAGGACTTCTTGCGGAACATTTATTTAAACGTTACACAGTACACTGATACATAAAAATAAGGCTATTTTTAAATGAGCCCGCGACTAAGAGCGAAATAAATTTTTATCATTAAAAAGTACTCTAGGTTACCTGCATTGCTGTTTCATTTATTGTAAAAAGGTCGTCGACCTTTTGAAAAGGTCAGTGGACAACGTGTAATATGTATGAGTCAATCCAAACAATTCCCTACATAGAAGGCTCCTTTCGACATATAGACCTATTATTATCTCGTAATAACTGGTGTCTAGGTATGTAAAAACTTTCTCTTTTGCTAAGATGAGGAATACGATAACATAGTCTATGAAATGTAAGGTTCGCAGGACTGGTTGTGTCTACATACAACAAAACTATTAACAGATAATTATTAATAGTCGACAAAGGTAACTAACACTCGAGACACTGGTAGATACTTCCATTGTCTTAGTACTAATCTACGGCTGTGAGGTGACACATGAAAAGCTATCTTTATATTTAAGTATGAATTTAAATTTGCACTATACAAGTATGAATAAAATTATAAACCGAGCGGTTGTTTTTTTGTAATAACATGATAATTATATTCTGAAGGCAGGCTACGTTATGTCAGTCGACGTTAGGTAAAGTTGTTGAAATATAAACATTATAATATGTTAATTTCTAGAAATGATTTACGAAGCTACATTAAACGTACTTTGAACAGAAACGTAGTTAATGTCTAGTTAAGTACAAAATAATATTGTTCTAACTGTTGAAAGATTCTTCTTAGTACTTTGGAGTGTTTGATTTATCAAAAAATAAATAGTATCATAATAACTATACTAGAGATCAACTCATTACCAATTAGATTGTTCGAATAATGTCATGGTAATTAAGAGTCCAAAGTAAATATGGCTTTAAATCAACACGAGGCACTTCAGTAGATACAGTAATGAATATTATCTTAATCGATGCAGCAGCTTATCTCTTACTGTAATTACGTTACGTTTTTATCGGAAAATGGTACATTGTGATGCAAATAAAAATTGTGTACGTACGTAGTAATCTATATTTCTTGAAAGTAGTTTTAGCCAGAAGTTATTAAGATTTTTCGCTCATCCGTTAAATGTATAATACCTCAGGTACTTATCTATAGGTACCAACGTAAGTAATTCCACACAGCTTAGGTGTATAACATTAGCACCCTAAAATTAGAAAGTTCTATTACATTTGACCTCTCGCTAACATTACATAAAATGGGTAATCAAAAAATAATGTACCAGAAAGCGTTTATCGCAACAGCATCGTGTCAGAGTCAGTTAAATTCCGTAGCAACAATTTGTGGTGTCGCTTTGTGCATTGCGAATCGGGCGGTGAACGCAACATCTACCGCAGTCCGCAGAGCCCCTCCAATTTGCGCAAGACGTGACTAAGACTGACCTTCAGTTCCTTGCAGACATTCCAACTCGACCGTGTAGTCCCAGAGATCCAAAGAATTCAGCCCGTTCAGCTCCCAGGAGTTGAAAGAGTCGCTACGCTCCTGCTCCTCGGTCATCTTCATCGGCGCGGTTCGTACGAAGGTCATTCGCGACTACGTCGTTTATAATGAGTCGTACACGTTAGCAGCCATATTTTTTGCTGCTTCGAATACGTAGCGTTGAACCGGCGTGACTGGTGTGGCGGCACAGGACGGACTGAACGGCGAACTCACAAAAGAACACGCGAATTACCAACGCCGTCGCCCGTCCGCTCCGATCTCATTTCTTTCGATTACTCGGTGATAGCAAACCAAATTACAAACCTTATCTATGCAGCGCCGACTCGAGGTAGTTCAATATCGGTTTTGTGTTCGTGGTGAAAGTCAAGAAACAATCAATCAAAATGTTTGTACGGTACTACGTGTGGTCGAAATTATATGTATCGTCAGTACAAGGAAAGTTGTAATCTGAAATCGCAGTAAGACAATTGCTCTCTCACGCTTCTGGATTTATAAAATGTAGGTTTTTGGAATATTTTAGTACACTAGTTTGCGTGTGCTACTGCGTGTGTAATCTGTGGTAATAAAAATTAACTACTTATTATAGTATTTTGATTGCTAAACGCTCCATACACGTATGTGATACGCCTATGTGTACTACATTAAATATGCCGACTGTGTTCTAATCGAAGGGAACAATTTTTGATTTACTTTATCTTGGACTGTTTTCATTTAATTGCATTTCAACATAAAATACCTAGCGATTTTGTAACCCTAAGCGCATTTATGAGCTAATAAAGTAAATTATAAATTGTTTTAAACAAATGTTCGATACTTTTAATTAGTTACTCCAGCAGAGTGAGCCCTAAGGTGAGCGACCTCAGTTTGTTACGCCAGCCGCCGTAAAGAACGCAACGTGTCTACTGATATTAACATTATTATGTTATATTATGAAACTTATAGATATTATCTGTCGAGAGAAAAACAGAATTACTTTTTTTGGGAATTTCTATACTTATTGTTTCCAGAGACAATGTGAAAAATAGTGTAATACAAAGCCTTACAAACAGACGTGGTGACACACTCAAAAAATTACACACTGCCCGCGATTTTGACGGAAGATGGATCGAAATGGTACTTGGAATGACCCAGTGGGCAGAAAAAGGAGACGACGCCCACCGGAAATCTGGGAACATGAAATAAAAAAGGCAAGATAAAGAGAAAATATTATAAAATAGAAGATGAGAGACGAGTAGAAGAATTTGAAGGAGGCCTTGAACTTCTTTCGGAGGTCGTGGTCGTCGTCGTTAATTACCTTATATTATACTACTGGAATAAAGGCTGTTTTCACTTTTTATTTATTTCCGGAGGCTTTATAATTAAAAGGAATATTACAATACAATATTTAAAAATAAAACTATACATTCTGTAACTAAAGGTACTACTAAACTGTACTAAATATCATTATATATATATATATATATATATATATATATAATCACGTTTAATTATGTAAATGTAAAGTTGCTGATACCAAAGTATAAAAGCAGCATACTTTTTACAAAAATATTCTGACGTAGTAAGTTCATTTACTGACTACTCATTAGCTTCATAACTAATGACAGCTAATTCTCAAAATGGTCATTTGTGAAAAAATATAAAATTACTTGAAATTCCCACACTATTATAAATAATATGAGTTTGAACGCAACAAAATATGAGCTCAAAGCAGTTGAGACGATCACACAGTAATTAATTTCAATTGCGTATTTTATAGGAATTTAAGAGCTTCCTATTCTAGATGAGACAAAATTATTGGTAAACAGAAAGTAAGACAATAAAGGTCCCGATGGTCCCGATTTAGTCAGTCGTGGGCTTCAGATAACTAAAAAAGATATATTTTACTTTAAAAGTTAACTCGCGGAACATTTTGCGTATGTACAAGACACTTATTCTGTAACATTTACTACATTTACTACAAGTACGGTGAAACGATTGCAAATAGCCACCGTTATATAACTCACTTACAAAATATTAGAACATGTCGTCGTCAAGGTTATTTTGATAATCATAATTAATAGCCGGTTACAAGTTTTTCTTAATTCCACCCATTGTAGAGTCTAATGCCTATGCATTTACGCTCGGTTTCTCTTGTCTCTCTCATATCAATTTTAGCTTAGCTACTTCTGCAAATTTTACATTTACATTTTTAAATATATATACCTACTTAGTTTAGCCTAGACTGGGACATAGTTGCAACAACGAGCGTTTATTTATACTTTTCGTTAAATTACGAAAAGACCACGGGAAGCGTGACGCACGGTGAGCGAGGACGCCTGGTCAAGCTATCAAGGTTTTGTAGTAGGTAATGCACACAGCACAATCCACGTGGCTAGCAGTTGTGGTAAACAAACTTGAAACCAACTACATGGGTGTATTTTGAGTATTCTTACACATTCCAAAAATAATTAATTAAGCCTGGGCTATAAAACTATGACTAGGCTAGCCTGTTTAATGATAAAGTAGCGGAAGCACGTTGTCAACTGCCTTGAAATGAACTACGTAAAAACCACTAGCAGTCTATTCAATATATATGCCAGAAATGCACTCCACGCTGACCGATGTCACCGATATGTGAATTCACGACTTACAATATTATCCTATGGCCTATGCCCTATGGTATCCCAAGCATACGTTACTAATTTATTATTCTAGGACTAATTAATAATAGGTAGGTAATAAAATAAACGAATTAATAAAACTGGTACGAAATTAATTTTGATTATTATTTATTTTATATTTTTTAGCCTACTCATAAGATTATTTTGCATTTATTATATTATAAATTCGCTTGGTAAGAAACACAATAGTTTGGCAAAAATATTATTCAGGTTCCTAAATTTCTGTTTATAATTTTTTTTATCTGCCTCTGTTGTTTTGGTATTAAACATCAATGTCAGATAATTCAGACATTTTGTTTGTTTCAAGTGCTTAGATGTATATAGTGCGCATGTAATCGTCGCCCTTTCTCGATTAAACCGCTACACCGATATTGATGAATTTGTATTTACTTATTAATCATTTTAATTTTATCTATTTATGTTTATCTGTAATTAAACTAAAAAAATATCACTAAGATTTCGTAACAAATCGATTGATAAAGGTTAAATACATAAATCAACGTTTGGAGATAAAAAAATGGATTTAGAATTAAATAAATAAAATATAAACGCGATTATTCAACATGAAATAAGTGAACGAAACAGGTTTAATATTTTTTTAATGCTGACAGCCATTCAAGGACAGCAGGTACCTACTACAGGTTTCTTAGTATTTATAATTATTAAGAAGTCGACTGCAAGTTGGCGAAGATGCAATTATTGCATTGTCTTGTTGTTTCATTAGAACATTATTTAAATTTCGTCATCAAGGTTATTTTTAAAGATCAATATTTAATATTCTACTACAATCGAGGTTTTTCTTTGATAAATGCTTTTTTTTATTAACGAAACGTAATTTAAATAATACTAACATTAATGTTTCAGTTCGATAGATTATGTTATCAATAGGTTAGGGGGCGTCTATAAATTACGTAAGGTGTTTTTTAATTTTCTGTACCTCCCTCCCCCCCTGGTGAGATGTCGTGAGATTTTATTCAACCCCATCCCCCAATCTCACGTGAGATTTTTCAAAATGTGGGTTTCTTACGTAAACGCGTTGGATTGTTATTGAAAAAAGATAAAATTTGCTTCGTGCTTTTATTTACGACTAAAACGAAATGTTGAGCGTTTCGGTATGGAGTTACCGAGAAGTTGCAGAGATGGCCTTTAGGGTCAACCGTTTTCCAAATTTTTTTTCAAAAAGAAAAAAAATTGCTAATGATATTTGCCGAGACCCCCCCTCTCTCCAACGTAAGATTAAATGAGATTTGACACGACCCCCTCCCCCCCTCCCCCTTAAACACCTCACGTAATTTATGGACGCCCCCTTATGTGTCCTCTGGCAGCTTATTAAAGTCAAAATTTCTTCATAGATTATACAGATGTGTAAACATAAATTATATAAACATTTTTCTTAAATACTTTGTAACACCGGCCAACAAGAATATAATGAACGTCAAACTGTATTAAATAAATAAGTAAAGTCCTTATGAAGCTTTTTACAAGTGATTAACAGTTTAAACCACTTTATTTGTTTTGTTCATATACGAAAGATTATTTTAAGCATTATGTATTGCTATAAAATACAATAACAATTATGCTTCGATTAAACAACAAAAGTTACGGTTCTGGAATGTGAAATTGATACCGCTATCAACAAACCGCATTGTTTCAGCTTAACGCCTGACTCTAAGCCACTATACGACCATTCCCAAGCGCCTATCTTAACCTAGATACCGAGTAACAACGACTTTGATATAAAGGTATGATATTTAATTTACCCCAGTGTGGTGTCGTCGACAGATGTACGAATGCAAAGAAAGAAGGATTGCGTTTCATATACCGGTTGCGTAGGGGAGTTGGTATCGATTTTAAAACCCTATAAACGCCTAAGGGAACCGAAGGGTGAACGCACCGCGTGGCATGCACCAGTCACGAGGATCTCGCCAATTGTGAACACCATTTGCTTATGCATTTTAACGACAAATCTGAGTAACTCCTCTTCTCCTTCTTCCGAAAAGCGTAATAATTATCTTAACGAGATTCACGATCAGTTATGTGATTCTTTTATAGGCAATAATAATAGGCGTAAACTAATGTTAGATAAATATTATATTGTGTAGTACATTTGTTTAAAAAAAAAGGTAAAGGAAAAAATACTTTCAAGCATTCTTCATTGAGTTTTATTATAGAATCATGATTGTCATATTAATTCTGTGAGTCACCGTGAAAAGGTATTCAAATGAAACAATGAAGCTGGCTTGTAAACATGACGCCTGCTTCCAATGTCAGCTGCGCGGAAAATCAATACGTACTGAATTTGGTCCTCGAGACGGATCGCGTTACAGACTCCCTATTACTTGTTCATTTGACCTGGAGTTCACCCGATAAGAATCCAATTGACAACCGTCACCTGCCACTCACCATCGAGCATGCAGCGTCGCGAATCTTTGCCTTCCTCCGCAAAGTCCTCGCATATCCCAGTCTTATCCCTCACCACATCCATGGTCACACACCATTAGCACACTATAATATCACAATCACAGAAAAATGCCATCACGTTTCCACTTCGCTTAGACTTTGTGAGTAAAGTAGTGAAATAGGCGGCAGCCGTGCACGGTCCGTTCAATGTCAGAGCCGAGTGGACAATCAATTATGCGACACACAAGAGGAGTCGTGTCGCAAGACTCGGCCAGAGGCAGTACCGAATTCGCAGGGCGCATGCGAGTTCGCCTGCGTTTTTTGCTGAGCACGAACGCCGCATGCGCGAAATAAAGTGGATATCGATATGATCGCGAGGCGTAGTGGCGTCGACGGAGCGCTTTGCCTCACTGAACCAGACGAAACGGCCGCTCGAGAGATATTAATCAATTCAATCGGAAAGGTGACGTTAATTTAACAAAGACTAATAATATTGAAATTGCCAAGCGATGGAAAACTCATATATTAAGCAATAGGAATCACGTGCAATTCTATTACTAATTTCCTGAAAAGTCAACTCCGTTGCATTATGGGATGGTATTTTACGAACACTATGTGTCGTTATAATTTCGAAACAAATTAACTCTATAAAAACATGTCGGATGTAGGATGTAGCAATTAAGTATTTCTGCGAATTTGCTACTGGATTGTCGGAGGCGTAATTTTTTATAACTTTACGCTTTCTGCCTTGATCGTAGCAACTGTTTTATTTTAAGTATATATTACCATTTCAAGTGTCAAACTGGTTTTTATCAGCGATATATTATAGGTATATTTTTAAATAGAATTGACTCATTGAACAAAAAAATATTATATCCTTGTTAGAACAAGCAGTGACATCAGTGTAAGTGTTAACCGAATGACAAATAAAACCGGCCATACATAAAAGCGATACCTTTTTGTCTTTTCACTCTCTTTTAAAGTTCATGTTCAATGTTCATAAACATAATGTGGGCTATTCGAGTTCGATGTCAATCTCATCACCCAAAAGTAGAAACTCTGTCCACATCCGAGTCGATAAGCGAGAATTAGTTCAATTACCGAAAGCACAATCTGATAACAACCGGATCGGCCACTATCAGTACGCATTATCAGTTACTATTTACGTAATCAATTACAATGGATCTTCAGATATTTATTACATTTTGGGCGTGAACAATGTTTCATTCAAATACTCGACAATAGACATATTATTGTATTGAGCGAAAGCTCATTACGTAACGTAAACTGCTCTAAAATAATTAATAGACTAACCTAATGGCTTACATCACTCTTTGAACATCGCCGAGACAATGCACTGTAATGAGCGCCCGAAATCTTTAATTAAATAAAAATATAATTAAATGGACACCACTCTTGTTATGCGAGCTTTATTTTATAATTAGAATAATATTATTTTCTTGAAAATTTCAAATTGACTATTTACAAGTTATGAGTCGTATACATAGATATCTCTATGAGCGCTATAAATACTTAAGTGACACCGTGATGAGACGTAAAAGGCTGATCACCTACTTGCCTATAAAATAGTTAGGTAAACAAATACATAAATCTAAAGCCAAGGGTGGTAGCGCCATTTTTATATGTTCGGTAGGCTGGTTGATCAGCGATTCCCAATTAAAACCGTCAATGGCGAATAGCAGGCTTAACGAAACGAATCGAATATGTGGAACACTACTGTTTGAAATACTTTTTTATAATAAGTGCTTAACATAAAAAGTTATGATTTGTAAGCCATTACAGGGGAATGCATCGCACGCGACCAATAATTGAGATGTTTGTGATGCGGTCTGATTTAAGATTAGATCCACTTGATTGTTTTAACTCATCGCGTGCCCTCGTGAGATGAGAAAACTAATTGTTGTTGGTTAATCTATTTATTTATTGGTTAAACAACAAAATTCATTTGAGTCGACAAAGGGGTTTTTTTGTAATATTACGAAATATTGTCAATATCGCTAGAACACATGCCTTTATATTACTCTTTACCCAATCAATTATAAATTCATAAATCATGGTTTACGTGTGACGTGACGTTCGTCTTCCAATCTGAGAAATTAGTGCACTTTGACGTATTTAATGGACCATTTGGGTCGATAAAGATTGACTTCAGTAGTAAGTCAGTGTTTAGGGTTTTTCAAGAGACATTATATTTAATGACCTGAGAACAGTGACTCTCATCCCTGAGTTCCATTCACGGCTATGCACCAATAGACATTTCAATATGTGCGCATCTAACACTCGCTCGTCCGGTGAAGGAAACCGGCAAGTTTCAAATGCAAAAATCGACGATATGTGTCTGGCTACTTGTCTATGGAAGAGAGGTTAATAATTATAAAGGGTAGTAGCGCCACTGGATTGTTACTATAATTATCAAATAGGTCCTCATTCACTACAAATCCTCGGTCAACCAGATCGTTCTCCAGACGGAGCAACAGCTCGAACATGCTCAAAACAAAGTAAATTATAAACCTGTCTCTTGGGTTTTTAAATCGGATCAAAAGAAAGAAGCTCAAAATTGTCTGTGTATTTTCTCAATTCCTATATTAAAAAAAACTATGTATCCATTTGTCATTTTTAAAATGTATAATCAGCAATGGAATTCGTGAAGCACGAAGTAGGTAATCCCAAGCTTAATCGTGTTAACGTAATGCAGGCTAGATTTAAGTTTATCTAATTAAATTCACATTGTTTATACAAAAGACATGATTTAATTTCAATTAAAATATAACTATTCGGTAACTTAAAACTTTTGTACTTTTTTTTTCTCTTGAAACTGCAAAAAACAACGATGTAGTAAGAAATGAATTTGTTATCAAATGTTAAATAAATCTGAGAGCAACAAATAATTGCAATTTGAAATTCTAGTGCACATAATGATTTCTTTAAACGACACATTTCATTCTAATTTAATTTCAACGTTCGTCATGGAAGCTGTTATTTTATGTCTATTAGAGTTATAATGAAACAACGAGGAAGTAAATCTCAAAAGACGGGATCTCGACGTTATAAGATAAAGTTCTTATCGATTCGATTGCAAGTAATGTGGCACGGCTGAAAACGGTGGTAAATAATAATTATTTTATATTTAAACAAATAGCAATAATACAGATAGTCGCCGCATCTTTGTTAATTACCATATATCCTTACTATTTATGAAAGTGCATCATAAAATTCAGTTCAAAACACCATTAACAGCTTCCTATAGCGTTATGAAACTGTGATAGTGCTGGCGGCTTGGTGTGGGCGAATGCAAATGGTAATCAAGGAACTCGGAATTGAATCGATTAGTTTATCTCATGAATAGCTCTAATGTAATTCATACTATTACGTAAGCCATCGACTATTCCCTTCGACAGTTGAGAGACTACAATGGCTTAATACAATATATGTCCGTAAATATTAATTCAACGGATGGCGCAAGCGCAGCTATGTTGCCACGAAATTAAGCAAATGGGAAAAGTTTTTTAGTTAGCATATTACTCACTTCTGCTATCGAAGAAAACTTTTAGGAATGTTCTTTTTAGTTTTAGTGACAAATACGACTGTAACGTCGACACAACAATCGTAATAAATAATACCACCAAGCATTGGAGGTAATTTCTTAGGAGCTTAGATAATGACATAAGATAGACATACGCCTTCCACTATGTTGTATGTACGTGAGAAACTCTCTCCTAATCCCCGAGTCTGCATTGATTGTGAGTTTTAGTGGAACAATTAATAAACAAGATAGTATTATAACGTGTTACCTAATAGATCTCACGCTACATAAGATAACAATACAGCGTTAATGAACTGATCTTAGGAGTAACACCCACTTAATAGAAATCCAGCAGCCTGTGTATATGAAAATATTATACAAAGATAGGTATGTGTGATAAATATGTGTAATAAAGTATACATAAATTAAACTTTTAAAAGGAAGATGTTTTACAAAACCCGTTCAGGTTTCCGAAACAAATAGAAGTGATAATAAATGTAATTAGGTTTCGAGATTTCATTGCACTTTGTTAACTTTCCCCAACAAATCTCGGATCCGTGAGACCTAAAACGTGAAACCTTTAAGGAATATTAAAACGAATCAACTTGTCCGATTCTAATCTGATAGAACTAATGATCTGCTCTATGAGTTATGCTATAGGTATTCAAAAGAGGTTGGAAACGTATCACTTTAGGGCCCATGGCGTTTCACTACGGGATATACTTTAGTTTTAAGGTAAAAATAGTAAAAGCAATGTAAGTGTATCTTTAGAACAGTACATAACAGTGTATAATATGTTATTTAGGTCACACTTGGCTCACAAAAAGTGCCGTAGACCTTGCGAGGTTCATACTTATACTTAATAGTCCGCACACGTTGAAAAGAATTGGGGCATAGGACATAAGAAAGACGTCGTGTTCGTAACCGGCTCTCATACATTACAAGAAGAGGCCATTGAATAGTTAATTTACCGTGAAAGCATCATTAAAAGTTAAGTCAGGCTAACACGTTCCTAACGAAGCCAATCAATTTTACTATCCGCAGTTTCAAATGTAATATGTACCAACAAATACTCATAAACACATAATTAATTGATTGTGTATTACGTATGCAAAATATAAAATACTCTGCATTAGTATCGATTTCAAGCATATCTTATTTCGAGAGCGTTTTTGCTTATTATTTAGGCAACGTAGTCTACGTTCAGGTAATAAATTTTTACTTACTTAAATCTAATCAACAATTCAAAAAAAGGATTTTACCAATTCAACGAAAACTGGAAATGCAAAAAGAAAAACATTAGTCGAAATGGTATTTATATGATGATAGAATAGGGCTTTAGTTAGTTTCCTAAATACTCCTCAATAGTAAAGTCAACTGACTCCAGTAGACGTATATTTTGAAAGGTACGAGCACCTTGTTTGGAGAAGGGAGTGTACTGAGGTTTAACTGGTCATATGACTCGGTTGATATTCAGTTTATATCATAAATTGCAGTCACAAGTTTCTCGATTTCATTTATTAAATCTAGTTTGTAACATACCAACCCTGACTGGGCGTAATGCAACTACAAAGGCGTGTACTACAACTTTCATCGCCTTTTTTGGTTTGCCAAAGGCCTTTATCTTTATCAAATATTTTTTGTGAATGCAATTACGACATCCTTTGTAGAAAACATTTCATGATATCTACTACAACTATAAAGTTTTAAAATGGCAGAGGCAGCAGCCTGTCTGCATCAAGTAGAAGCTGCTCGACCAGAAGTAGAAGAGCGACAGATAGATGAGAGTCATAACTCATAACACAGGGACGCCGGCAATATTCCGTTTTTATTACGTTGCATTTACGATGTTGATAATATGAAGGGAGACATTTCCTCACGAGTTTATAATCGCGACGACAATCTCCTTTTTTTTTGCGCACAACCGACCATTGGCTTATGTAACGTATAAGGGAAATTTCCAAAAATAAAGCTTGTCAATCAGGTGTAACGCAATATTAAGATATTGCAATAGGTTCGAATTACTTGCCAATTTTTTTTCACGCTCCGTTACAATGTTTGGTTTATCTTTCATCACTGAAATAGATACCTCTTACGCCAAGTTAGGAAATAGATGTAAAGCTCGCTACTGTAATTGTGTTATAAAATATTAAATAATACTTGTACACGCGCTTTTAAATATATTTTCGGTGTTAAAATGTACTTAACAAATCATACGTGTATAAATTAGGCTTGAATTTATTAAATAATCGCACTTAATATCAGATCCGCTGCGTCTCGTTTTGCTTCCGATCGGCAACAGATCATAAATAGTCGTTAGGGAAATGGTTTGTGCAATTCACTTGGCACTTACTTATTCTGTACTTGGTCCGATCATGTAATTATTGATGTTAAGATATGAATTATCGGGATGGCGTCGTGAAATCTAGTTTATTCGATGAGCTGGCCGCTGCGTAACCACACTTTGAGGTAATGATTTGCAAAAAATATTTAATATTAGCTAACACTTGCCATAATTTTTAGCATTACGAACCTAATTAATTAACTTGGCTCTCATTATATTTCCGAAAAATGGCAAATACATAATCTGTGTCGTTATCAAATCTATTTGTATGTCATATTTCGTTGATATATTTTTTGCGTAAACACTTTCAAATATAAAATTCGTTTTGGTTGTTAGTAAATGGTAACTTTTCAACAATAACAGCATTATCTAAGCAAATAAAATTTATCTTATGCAACGCGTAAGCCGATTCAAACATCGAGCTTTTAACTAATAAGTTTCACCGTTTAAGATGATTGCTTAATTCTTGTTTTATTGCGGTTATGTCACTTCCCGCCCTTATAACTTTAAAACTGCTCTGTTTTTATTCAGTTGAAAGCACTTAATTATCTCAATTACCAATATTACCGAATACTTTCAAAGCTAAAGTGACAGCCTTATGATTTTAATAAAAAAATTGCTTCACTTGCATCAAATATAAGTTGGAGCCCGATAAAAATCCGTAAAATATATTACAAGATCATATTTGACTCTCGTGTTATGTGCACGTACTTATTGCATCAATTAAAAGTCAATTCAAAATACTTACAACAAATGCAGATGAAAATCTGTTCAATTAGATATTTATACTTGCTTCGAAGAATTTGTTAACTTATAAACCAAGACGGTTGATAAAAAATCCTAGTTTTAAGTTTCGACTCATTTCCGTTTATAGTCTATAAACCTTGTATAATGTACTTAAATAGTATAATTAATCAAAACAACTTCCTCTAACTTCGGCTAACGGTCGCCTGTCAATATTTAGGCAATACCTACTCGGCATTATGTCATCGTTACATATTTAATACCAAACAAATCGTCGCAATATTGAAAGCTTCCGTGTCCGTCTATGTGAACACGGTTTACATTTAATGTCGTGTGAATTCGTGACTTTTCTGATCAGCCTACACTTCCTCTGCAATGGGATACTTTCAAAAAATCAGAACAACAAGTTACAATTACAGATTGGCACACGCCGAATAATATGATATTATATATTGGCAAATTAAAGAAAAAATTTAAGAATAGTACCGTATCTGCGTCTTCAATCATCTATGTCATTGTTAAACGTGTTTAAGGTGCCCTTTCTTCGACAATTTGTCTCGGCACCGATCGCTCGGAGTCACGAGAATGTAAGCGAGGTTAAGCATTACAATCGATAAATTCTGACCATGATTTGTAAATATTTTCTCCACCGGACGCGCCCACGATTCTTGATTAAATCTGTATCAAGATGTCTAACAAATGTCGCTAATAACAGCTCTATAACTACACATTGCAAAGCAATGTATCTGTAAATATTTTGATCTCATTTATAACTTCTGACACCCTAAGTAGACTTTCCGTTAGTGATTCGTAGGGAATCGAAATGATGGTACTAAAATGAATTGTTATGAAGAATGACCGACCCTCATAAAACAAAAGATGCATCATCCTCGTTCAATTGTAGTTTGAAGTGCAGGTCATAAAATGTATTGGCTCTAAGATAAAATTTCGCAATCGCGAGTAAAGTAATAATTTCAGATAACGAGAGCTAACCTTTAAAGGCCGTGAATGTTGTTGTATAATGATAATGTAGAACATTGCATCTCGATAAAACGTGAGAATAATTCATTTATTGTTGAATTTGTATTCTATAGCAAATCAGTATTGTTCTGCTCTTAAAAAACAAACATAATTTTGTGCTATACATTCAATGATGATATAGAGATGTAATATCTTTATTGCAGCCTTAACATCTTGTAATTTAAATTTGATTTGAAACACGAAATGTTTGTTTGCTTAAAAGTTCGCGCGAGAAAGATAATTAATAAAAACAGGCTTCATAGGAAGAGCCTTATCCACGTGCCATGTGCCCGGCAACATCTGCCTCGCAATGTGGCACTGCCCAACCATGAATACATAAGGGCCTTCATCCAATATTCTAAGGAGGCAAATTAGTCGGTAAGCATTAATGAAAAATTACGTACTTACGTAATATGCAGAAAATTAGCAATCTGAAAGTACACGCTACGATTGCAAGGAGAATTCTTACTGTAAAATTGCCATTAATTATGTATATGGCACATTTACAAAAGTGACTTCTAAAGTCTGGTCGCGATTAGACTTAGGTGTAGGGAAAAATTCGCACTTGTAGTGGGAAGAACCCTTTAGCCCACTTATTTGCGAAAAATATTCTGAATTTTTCACTAAAGTATATTTCTGCCCATGTTCCTTTTACGTGCGTTTTATGTAAAATTGTTCTAAATAATTGCTTTCTACATAATTGTTTTATATTTAATGGTACTTATAATTTTCCACAGCTTTTATATTTTTGCTCATGACATTATCAAAGACCGAAGCAGCTGCAAGAGTTCAGCGTTCGTACGGGGACGTTATAATATGTGGGAGCGACGGTTACGCTTACCGCAACAAGTGCGACTTTGATATCAAGAAATCTACTTCAGTTGGTCTAACAATGGCTCTCTCGGGCCCTCGTGCTCGAAATGTATATTTTACTAAACCTTTTATTAAAGTAGTTAAAGCTATTCAAGAAGACGGAGTCAATAAAAAAGGGTTACGAAAGCAGTTAGTATAAAAATAAACAAGAAAAAATACTTTAAGACTCATTTGTACTATACATTAAATGTTTTTTTCATTTTAGATCGTCAAAAGATCGTCAAAATCGTCAAAAATCGAAAATCCGCCAGCTCTCAAAAATTATCTTATCCCAAATAATAAACGCACAAAGTAAGTAGTATCAGTGTATTTTGCAGTGAAATTAATTCGCCTGCACTAGTTCCTGGCCGTATGCGGGTACAGTAATCGCACGTATACCGTTTTTTTCTATTTTGCAGGCAATATAGGAGTTAACATTCAAAACAATGCAGTAAATACTCAAGGAAACCGGAATAATTTTCAAATAAACATCGGTGGATAACCAGATCCGTACAATAAACGTATTAGTAGCATCTCCATTGAGTTCCCGAAAGTCTCCTTAAATCGAAATGCCGAAACAAATATAAAGAGCCGTACCCTTATATGTAAATTTAAATCAATTAATAAAGGAGATGTCGTTTCTATTAGGCACCTTGGTTTTATTGAAATTTTCAAGTTTGTAAGCTATTCTTCTCAATAAGGTTGTCACAATATCGCTAATTTATTGAACTGAAAAACTATTAAGTTTTGTGAAAAACGCAATTTACCTACGCCAAGTGAGATTGTTGCTGTCTTATATGTCTGCAAATAAATATTAGAAAGAAGAAGAAGAATATAGACTATTAATTTTTTTAAACAGACAACACACACGCACACAACATCAAAACTTTTGGATAAAGTAATATGTAGCGAGTTAATTAGTCTAGACTATTTACAAAATTATTCTTATTTAATTACGTTAAGAATGATGTGCATATACTATTTCTTATCATAGTACTTTGCTTTAGGCATTAAAACGAATATCTCAGCTGTCGCAAAAGATGTGTATATAAGAAGTGTATGTATGTATATATAATATACATAAAATTCTCATATAATATATATGTAGTAAGTAATGGAGATTTAGGTAATTGAAAAATTGACCACCAATTGTTATTGTGCACGCCAGCATTTTTAGGAATATTTGATCGAAACTAGTAATAATTGATTGATTTCGAGGTGTATGAGTGAAGTTTAATTGAGAATTAATTATTATGTAATGGTCAATCAGGCCAGACATCGTCATTGTGACGTGAAAAGAAGAAATGCTAACACGGTTCGCACGTTAGTAACATTTCAAGTATCCTCACGCTATTTTATTATTATTTAATTTTGTGTAATCCTCACACTATTAAATAACCTTTAGAACTAAAACAAATTTTATTTTCAGTTTGTTGCCTAGTTTTTCTTCCGTATAGGGGAGATGGCACGGACATTCGTTGTTCATACGGAGAAACAGTTCTATGCGGCAGCGACGGTTCCACATACTACGACCTGTGCACCTTCCACACCATGGAAGCGGTAAATCCATACCTGGTCGTGGCTCACCAGGGCCCGTGCGACCACCGCCATGTCTTCAAACAACGACTTCGCGGGCAGTTAGTACTGTTATAGTCATTCTATTAGGTTCTTCGAATCAAGCAAATAATGTAGTTCGTAATTTAAATAAACCAATAATAAAGGATTTTTTAAATATATTTTAGGATTCCGAATTTTCTAAGAATGGGAAAATTATCGAAGATGTTACTAGCGCAAATTATAAACTCGCAAAGTAAGTGTAAATTTAATGTAAAACCACAATTTCGCCACATTTTACAAGCGCAAAACTTTGATTATTATTTGTACAATTTCATAACTTCTAGTCCATCAAGAAGATAAAAGTTAATATTTATTTTGATATGTTATAGCCTACCTGGGCGGATTTAACTTCGAAAATAATGTAATAAACACACAAGGAAACCATAACAGTTTTGGAATAAACGTGGGTTAGAATAACTTAATAAAAAACAATTTCCTTTAATTCTTTGTTTTATTAAATAACACTTCGATCCTTTCCATTATGATATTCCCGATGAAACAGAGCCATATTCATAATTCTACGTTTCTTTTTGCTTAGTAAGAAATACTAGTAAAGCTACACAAAAGTTACTTCTTTGCTGTATGTACATAATATATTTGTAATAACGAAAAAATGTTTATTACTTAATAACCGTTCTAATACTCATAAAATATAGTTATATCCTCCGGATAATTTCATCATGCATCGATCGACTCTTTCTATCAATTACTCCATTAGTTTTATACGTTACACCCGATTACGAAATTATGTCCTGTAATTGAAAATTAACGCTTTGTTAAAAAGTTTAATCGTAAAATACGATTACTAACGTGTGTTTTATAATTCAGAATCTATAGTTTATTTGAACGAGAAGCCATGTCATCGAATTATTCGGGAAGTATTTTTATTAGAATTTATTTTATTAATGTTTTAGTAACGATATTTTGTAAGAGCAACGTCGCAGCAGTAAAATGCCCACTCGGGGAGATGGTCGTTTGCGGAAGTGACGGCTTCACCTATAACAGTCTTTGTGATTTGGAAATCGTGCGAACTGTCCGACCCAACCTTGAGTTGCATCACATAGGTGTCTGCCACGGAGAAGGATGCTCACTGGAACCGTTCATCAAGCTTCTTAATAATAAGTCCGAATTGAGAAGCAGGTAGATATCAAACTATTAAAATTCTGCTTTTCAAAGTTCATATCAGTTTGTAAAGAATATGTTGCCTTTTCAGAAAATTGTCGGCCGGTAAACAAAAGAAAAACCCGTCAAATATAAATCTGAAGAAACTATTTCTGACGCAACTACTTAAAGCACAAAGTACGTTCTTACGTTTTCAGCGTTACTCATTCTTCAAATCCACGCTACAATTTAGTGGAAATATTAATCATGACATCATTTGATTGTGAGAGTATTTTTAAAGCATGAGCTTTTCCTTTCAGCTAATTTGAACGGATTCAATTTTGAGAATAATGCAGTGAATACGCAGGGGACCAGCAACTCTTTCCAAATATCATTTAATAAACCCAAAGGATAACCGCTTTTCTTTATATAGACAAAGGATTCGAATTCTTTTAGTCATTACCTTTGCTCTAAAATGTGTCAATAAATCATTTTTAACCCTGGGAACCATGTTATCATTTGAGTCAATATTTACGAGATATTTTTAGTGGTTTAAGTTGTTGTGTGTACCTTTTTTACCTAAAAACCGGAACCGTTCCGACGAAATCTTAGAAAGATGGCACTGGAAATGACGTAAAAGAAGGAACGAAACGGAAAAAATATACGTGAGAAACGACGTCGTCTATCTCAATAAAAAAATACAAATAACGGTCAAGTCACATTACTATATGATATAATATATTAAAATCAATTGAAAAGGTACTGAATTGTATAAATACGCAGTTTTACTGATTATTGAATATTCAGATATGACGCTAGGGATTTAGTTGAAAATCCAATCAAACTAATAAATAATCTATCAATGTTTGTGTGTCCATCAATTACATCGTACATGTCTTCTTATGCTTCTTGAGTCTGGGGAGTGATTGTAAATTGTTTTAAGTATGACACTTAGAGAGAACTATCTGCGCAGCTTCACAAGACGCGTACAACTTAGTCCAGCCACAAGTTCTGTTACAAATGAAAATGCATTTTTTAATGAAGTAATGTAGTATTATTTAAATTTATACCTACATATTTATTAAAGTCTCAGCAAAAAGTATATAAATATTACATTCGAAATGGCCACCTTTGGCTTTTATAAAGGCTTTTAATCTGTTCACGAATCTATGGATTTGCGCAATGTTTCCAAGGGGAATTGTAAAAACATTCAGTTAAGGGTAACATAATAGCTATTGGTAAATTTAATGAATTGTATTATAATTGTAATGACTTAATTGTCCAGTAATGAATTATAGCCATGAAATAAGAACATTAAACGGTGAAATTAAAAATTATCACACACTGAAACATTATTAAAGTGTTTCTTTCGACATTTTCATAAAAGTGAAAAGTTTAAGCTAACTAAATTGATTTAGTCATGTTGACACGTACGTTTTGAAAGTTTTTAACAATCTAGAAACGATTTAAAAAATAATCATATCACTTTAATAAGTTAAATTTAAACAGCCTTTTAATGCCACTAAGAATACAAAATATAAGTCTAGTTCTGAATTATCGACACATTCTTTATTAAATGATAATATCGCAGTGTACCGGCGAACAGGCAAGAATAAAAGGATATATATTTATTTTTCAGTTGTTGTATTTCTATTGGTTCCTTATATTAACGAGGCTAATCTGAGATGCATTTATGGGGACAGACCGATTTGTGGAAGTGACGGAGTCACATATTTAAACTTATGTGATTTGCAAATAATACGTACTGTCCACCCTTACGTGCACGTAAGACACATAGGACAGTGCGCAATCGGGAAACAACTCGTCGCCCTAAATCAACAAATGAAATCAGTGGGATCTCCAAACGGAGGATATCTTCGAGATGGGAAAAAGTAAAACTTTGTGAATTTTATGAAATGATTTAATAATAATTATATTAATTAAGTATTCAATATATCTGACACAGAAAGTCCCGTCGGCCCTCTAAGCCGAGTCCGAATGATAAATATGGAGATTTCAGAGAGAGGTTTATAACCAAACTATATAGTTCGATGCGTAAGTAAAAGGCATGCTAGTTATTTCGCTTAAGCACAATATTCGATCGGCATCAATGAGTAACACTGAGCGTCTGAATTTCATGTTTTACAGTTCAGTTAAGCGCCTTCGAAAACTTTAACATGGAGAACAATAGTATAGCGACGAGCGGAAACAACAATTTATTCCAGATAAGTTTCGACTGAGTCGCCACCTGAGGTTGAGTTACCATATTAAAGGCTTTTAGACATTTTAATTACTATCCATACTTTTCCCCTGAGTAGAATCTCCATTAGTTTGTCGACCAACTTTACTAAATTAATTATAATAAACATAACAGTTTTTTTATAAATCGTATATTTTGACTAATACTGAATTAAGACAAAGCACACAGTTTTCTCTTGTTCCTAGAATCGAATCTGTTATCATAGTCGGGATCGTAGTAGCTAAAGTCGAATATTTTCATATTTCCATTTTTAGGTTTAATATCACTCTGAGTCATGCAAACACCATTGTATTTGTAGAAAATGCTTTTATCACTTTTCATGTCAACATCTAAATAGCAGATATTAGTATAGGTTTTTTCATTACTACCACACACGGGTGAATACATTTGGCACATCCTCTTACATTTTCCTTTATGGAGTAATTGCAGCGAGGGATCTCGTTTCTGGGCATCGAAATAACGACTTTTTGAAGAGAATGTTTCAAAATTTGACGCACAAAATGGCCCATTTTTAAAGGTCGGTAGCGGCAACATAGAACATACAGCATAAGGAAAAATTGTACAAAATAAAAACACTAAAAGACAATAAAATAGTAGATTATTATGACGTATAATTATGGACGTATATAATGGATTACATTTCAATCTATTTGATTTGTTCCAAACAATTAAAATATATGTAATATGTAGGTATATCTTACCAGTTTTTAACATTAGGAAAGTTTTAAAGTTTGTTTAAAAAGTGAGCGCTACACTTCGTAGCGTAGTCTGTCTTATGTACTCGTACCTTTTGCGATTAAATGAGAATTTTATAGGCCATTAAATAATAATAGTAGTGTATAATTGCTTTAGTCAATTTTTAAACAATCTAAAGTCCAAGTCTCTGCCTTAAGAAATATGCTCCAAGTTGTTCTGTGCAATTTTTTAAACAAACAAACAAAAAGCGGGTGTTTGTCGGAATAAATCGATCATTATTGCTAATTATTAAATAGTTTTACGAGGTTAACTTAGTTTTGGCCATTACCGAAAGATGTCTTTAAGTTGCACCAAGTAAGTAAATGGTATATTTTTGGTAACACCTATCTCCTCACTAACATGGCTTCTGGGACAAACTATTGCGGTGTTTTATGGAAGAGTCATATAGATCTGACTATTATTCACGAATAAGATCATTGTCACTGAATGACACGTCACATAGACAGACAGACAGACATACACGTCGTTACGAAAATATCTGTAGAAAGATAAGCAAGGCGCCAAATCAGCCCAAATTGAGCAAGAAAATAATCAGTATGTAGGTTGTATTACATGTTACATTTGAGACTTAGAAAACAACGAGATGAATATCGTCCTCTCGCAACAATCTCAGAATACTTGCAAAATAACACCCACGCACCACGTTTATTACATGTACATATTGATGCGAAGTGAAACATAAACAGAAATTTATTAACTCCTTTCTCTTAGAACTTACTTAACAGAAGAACCTCAACGTTCCTGTTGCTTTAGCAGAATAAGTATACAGTTAGGTCACTTGTTTTTATTATGTACTGAGCTGTACCAAAGACAACTTTTAAATGCATTTCCAATAATACCTAGACATATTTTCATTTTAATCAAAGCGAGGCACGTTCATCCGGCAATTCTCAGTATAATAACGCGTATTATAAAAGGAATGCGGCCGGTTATAACGAATACCCGTATAGCCGTGCTTCAAGAGACCTGCTTTGCATTATTTATGCACAAGCATCGTAAATATGACACACGATACTTTGTCAAAGAAAGATATTGGTATAAATATATTAGTGCAATTACTTTTGGGACTATTTTTTGTTTATTTTTTGTTTTGATTTTTGTTTTTTGTTTATTTTCGATGTAAAATACCTCACACCAACAATCCAATTGTGCGGCGGTGTCCTTGTCAAGTGCCTCACACACAGAGTATGCAATTTCAAAAGATTTTCTCATGTAAGTACAATTTTCCGTACAAAATTTTGGTGTTCATTTTCGCCACTGTTCCCTATGTAAGGTGTTACTTAAGAAAGAGAGTAACTTAACCGCCTTCTCTAACTAGTTGAAGATTATACCCGGCATAGTCGAAATCGATTTGCTACAATTTTAAAATAAATAAGTGTTAAATATCAAGTAAATGCGAATAATTATAATCACGATGGAAAATTTCATGGATTTGGTAACAAAACGTGAATCATTTGCATGAATTACGCGAGAAATACACGACTATCATTTAATTGTGTTTTTGTACACGAAATTATTTTATTGTTAGGCGATTTGAGGATTAATCAGTGTGAGAAAATTGTGGCTTTAAATAGAATCAGTTCTAGTTAAAAAAACAAACACTGTTATTTGAATAATTTAGAGGAATTTATTTTGGGGTGGCATATTTTTGCTGAATTGAAATTGTTACAGATTTACTGTAAGTGTGGCCGCTGTCGGGTTTATACACTTTAGGAAAATTCAAAATGCTTCAGGCAAGCGAGATCTATTTTCAGAAAATTCTATTTTAATTTGAATAAATTAATCACTCCTTTTTTTTAATTTTAAACCTATTTAACCCTTTTTTTAACAGAAATAGGGCATTTTTATATTGAACACTCGATATTTAGCATTTGAAATGACATTGATGTTGATGATATTTTAATTGAAAATAAAAATAATTGGTTAATATTATTGTACAAATGAATGAACAAAAAAAAGAGGACAAAAGTGCTTTTTTTCAACAAAAAAAATAGATGCACTCGGAGTATCGCGTGTAAAGTGCCAATGGCCATTTTGATGGATTGCACGATGTTAACAATACGATTATTGTTTCTATTTACAAACCAGTTGTATCGCTATCACTTTCGCAATAGAATTTTCTCAGCACCTCATGTCCAGTCATCGGCCTATATGCTACTTTACTGCTGATTAATAATAATAAGTAGGTACCAATTGGCTATCACGGTAACGAACCCCATGTATGAATAAATATTATATTGAATGAGTTAAATAAAACCGGTATAAAGTCGTGTTTATGACCGATGAGATATAAAATAATTTAATTTTCCGAACCACATAGCCTTCGATACAGTCGAAACAAAATATTGCAAATTAAGTCGTATCAAAATTCATTTTATTTGTTTAAGTAATACAATCTCTCTAGTCAAGTATAAAGATGCATAATAAAGAAATCACGCTGCGTGACGACCGCAAATCTCACGGTCAAATTTAAAAAATATTTTAACACATTGTATTCACTATTAATCTATGATTACTTTTATCTATTCCGGATTAAAGTAGAATTTAAGCAGAGTCCAAATATCCTCTAAAATAGATATCGTGTGTAAATAAAGCAAATTATTTATTAAGGTTTTGAAGATCCCGAGCCACTATTAGTCGCACCAGGAACCATAATTTCATCATTAGCGCCTACTTCAGTACGCGATGTATTAACATCGTAATATTGTCAATATAAGCTTGTATGCGTGTAAGGGTCAACGCATATTTGTCCTTTAGTTTTCCCCTATCTGTACTTTTCTCTTATTATTTGACCCACTCAACATCGCACAACTACAATGATCAAATTTTGTAAAACATAAATCTCAAATAATTTACGTTCTAACCTAGTCAGTAAAGAAGTATTTTATAATTAATCGCAATTTAATAGAAGTGCGAAACACTTCCTTTTAATGCAAGTCCTTAGCTTCAAATTGAGTTTTCCGAAGAAAACGCAGCTTTCTTTGTCATAATATATAAAAACATACACATATACATAAAAACGTTTATAAACACGCATATTTATAGTCTTAGTAGGCGTTGCCGTCTCTTTTCTCTTTTTACAGTACTAAGCGTACCTAAATCTATGTCAAATTGTTCATCAATGGCAGTTAAAATGGGCTGAACGCGAGTCGAGAATTTGGATACTATAACGGTGCTTCTACACTGTTCAAGTACGAGCGACAAAGCCTGATTGACATTCTGGTGACACTTGTCTTTAAAGAATTCTGTAAGTGGAAACTCCCACAGCGACAGTGATACTAGCAAACGCCATTAACCTTCTTGTAGAATATATGTATACAGTGCATACATGTTTTTCATTTTAGAAATTCTGGACCTTTTTCAGAGGTTACCGATGACGGTAGGTACAGGTGAAGGTAGAATCGTGATGCTCTTGACTCTTCGCAAGAGTATTGAGAAAAAGTAATAGTATAATTATTATACATTATACATTAAAAACTACGTATGTGTGATACGAGTAAGTTAGTGTGACTTGACATTCAATTATCTTGTATTCGTCTCATTAAGTTATCTTTTCTCATTGGGTATATCGTAACTGTTGTAAAATTGTAAGACAAACCAAATATCACATCTTTAAAAAATAAATGTTTTCCGAGAAAAAAAAACTACATTTATAGGGTAACTGCAAGGCTATAAAAATTGAATAAAAGAACCTTTTGACATAGAAACTTAACTAGAAACATCGATGTCGAAATATATTTTGCCATATAAATGTTATAGGCGCTATGTTTTAAATAAATTTGATTTCATTAATTGGAAACTATTTTACTAAAGTAACATTACACACGGCCGTCGTACCCGCGTGGGATATTGAGCCAATTGGATTATAAAGAGATTATTTTTTACTAAAGTTACATAAAATAAATAAATTTTAATAGTGGACATAGTCTAGCTGCACAAATATATATCAATTCAAGATTTTCTTATTCAACAAATCTACCTATATCTCACCAACAGAGAGATATAGTATATTTGAAACTTTAAGGTACTTTATAAAAATGAATAAAATAGGCTATAAGGTCTAATTCTGTGTTTTGAAATACATACTTGCTAATATAAATAATTAATAATGAAAACTTATCACTATTTATTTATCGTAACACTGATATTCCAATAATTATCCGATAATTAAAGCAGCTCCAAAGTTCAAATCTTATTTTTCCTTGGAATAAATTAAATTAACCTCAACGTTAACAGTTTTTTATAAAAAGTCGTAAGTCCACGTTATATTTTTTTAAATAGAGGTAGTTTATTATAATCGAAGCATTGAACATCTTGTTTCAAAAATTTTGGGACAAAAATATACTAATTTATCGTTAAAATTTTACCTACTCGCCGTTTTTACTTTTTTAAATTATTTAAGGAGTATTTTAAGACAAACATCGACTTTGCAAAACAAGGAAATACATTTCGAAATAACTTCTGCAGATAAAAATGAAAACATTTATAATATTGTAAAGAAACTGTAATTTTTATTTATTTTAAAGGTTATCAAGACACGCGAAGGAAAAATTTAACGAAGCAATATATTAAATAAAATAATCGTAATTTAGATGAAAACAGAAACCCGTGAGAAAAGAGATGGTACGCGGCTGTTTCAAATAATTGCTTGATTGGATGATACGAGCATATTTTTAGAGACAGAAGCCATTACTTACATGGCTTTTACGTTACTTCATAATGCTAATGTGAATAGAAATCTCGTTAATACTTTTTAACGACAAGAGTTCATTCAAATTTTAGTAATTATACATAGGAATGTCGACTTACTCAAATTCGACTTTCGACTTGAACAAGCTTAGTAAATTTGAACTAATACAAATTTCGTATGGGTTCAGCCAGACACACCTACACTACATACATCAATTAGAGCCAAAATAGATAGAGCGGCCGAAACAAACCTTAATTGTAGTACATATAATAACGTTACACCTATTACAATACTCTTTTATCACATTATTTATTTTCCAATAAATAATGTGATAAAAGAGCCAGTTACATGATAAATCTAAATGTTAATGCGTTTTATGTCGTAGTTAGTGCGGAATTTCTATAAGGGTTCCTTCTATCAATCCATGTCACACTACAAGTTAGTATATACTATAAATTTAATCACATATACATCTCATCTTTAAATTTATTCCATGTTATCGATCTAAATGGTAACAGTGTTGAATACCACCGCACTTTTTTGACCATACTAATTATTTAGGAGTCTCGGGGGACCTTCATTGGAACACCTCCAATAATCGATCTAAATATAATAATTTTTGGACAGCTCCGGCGCTACGGGAAATGCAGCCCCTCCACCCTTGCGTACCAAAGCACAGGCATTATCTCTTCACTTCCTTCGCGCCTCCGATTATTTATATACACTAGGGGTAAGGCAGACAAGACCACGTGGATAGTGGGGTGCTCTGATTCGGTTTTGGGTACTTTTTGGATATTAAAGTAAACACTTTATTCTAGTAAAAATTAAATAATACAGAAAGTTGCAAACAATGAAATACAAGTACTAATTAGGAAAAAAAAATTCGGAACCCTATAATCTATCAACACGAAATTAGGTTAAAGTAGAAAATGGCGGATTGTTTACAAATTTCAATACATTACACAATACTTTAAATTTTTTTGTAAAAATATTTAGACGCGTTTCCGCAGCAAAACTCACTTGGAGGTGTCCCCCGAGACTCCTAAATAATTAGTATCGTCAAATAAGTGCGGTGGTATTCAACACCCAACCCTTTTTCCTTGTTGTATCTATCACCTCTGTATAAATAAAGAAATAAATGCTGTAAATAATAAAGATGTAAATAACTCTTGTCCCAGTTAAAGTTGTCGTATGTGATTATTAGCCCCGACCCATTATAAGTTGACTTAAAAGTTAATGTTTTGTTGTCTAACCAATAAATATAATATGTTCCTACAATTGGCACAACCATAGATAGTTGTTTGCCATGACTGACCATTAGTTATTAATGCTTTCAATATATATTATACAAGATTCAACATAGTAAAATAGTGTACTGGTGGTTATTTAGAAAAAATACATATTTAGTTGTGTGTCGGTAGTAAAAAAACATTTGTTAACAAAGGTACAATTTAGTCAATTTACTTTAAGTTTTAATTAAAGAAAATGGTCATGAAAAGTAAAAAAAATAATAATGATAATTGCAATGCAATCACAATTAACTATCGTGTCGAAACGATGCAGATATGTCTGAGCAAACTGCGCTCTAATAACTACCTGATAAATGCTTACGAAAGACGCGTGCTTATCTCTTGAAAAACTCCTTATTCGTCTTGTAATAGTTCAAGGAAACATAACCAATCATGTGGAAATAATGATGGGTCACTAACCTGAGGCTGTCCAGCATTCGGGACACTCTTGACACAGCGTCGACCAGTCGAAGGCGAGGTCTTCAAAGCTAGCCATGTCTAGGCCGAGTCAGTCCACCGGTAACATGCTATACACGAAACACTTTAATTAGCACTTGAGCACATCAATCGTCCTCATGAGATGCGCGGACGGAAAACGGCAGGTGTGTTCGCGGCGAGCTCCGAAAGCGAGCGTACGCGCAGGCTCGAGAGTGGTCGACTCAACACTGCGCCTCGGCACTCGGCGGCCGAGCGTTCGGCGTCGGGATGTATCGCTCCAAACCTGTTCTCCGGTCTCCACAATTTGATTTAACTCTTTCGATTTCAATGAACCGTTAACGTTCTTTACTTCGGGCGTGTCCTATCAACACATCACGTAATACTGCATTGCGTCTGAATTATAAATTTATACATTAGTTGTGTGCATTTCACGTGCTATTTGCAACCACTGATTTATAGAAATAGTACTTAAACATCTTCAAACGAGAATTTCCCTGTTCCTTAAAGCTTTTTCAACGGCGTCTATTTCGAAACTTTAACGCGAAAGATTTATTAGAAGTTTTTCTCCAGTAAGAATGCGGAAGGTTGCGAATGCCGAGTCGGTATTACGCGCCGACGCCTCTAATGGTAACTCGGAGTTGCTTTTCCGGACTGGGCACATTAAAGTGTCTCATCTACTTGTAGGGTGATTGTATTTATTTTTTTGCATTTACGTGGAGGATGTATCGCATTCTCCATCTTTATCTCGGACAACGTGCCTTCTATTCATCGAACTATAGAGATGATTCACTCGCTCGTTAAAAACGTAAAGATCAATGATCAAGATGTTTTAAAAACACGTAGTGCCGCAGAGCTCTCTACACATGTTTACTGTGTTATTAATAATTATTTGTGCAGGAAAATTATGCTTGCCTCTCAAAGGGTGTAAGCTCATTTTTACATATGTAACTATGAACAAAAGAAATTCGGTGTTTATAGCAAATTATAATAACAAAGTGATCTTCGCCAAATGAAGAAAGCGGCAAGTTCCAATTGATGCATAAATTAGTTAGTGTAAAAGCATTTTACACGTTTTAATATCTTTTATATTCTTATAAGTTTAATTGGGTTCGTGACGTAATGAGCGGCTGAAGAAAGTGAAAGAATTAAATTATACGCGCTTTACGTTTCGTGCCCTTGAACTGTAACACAATATGCTACATTAGCGTACTTGTATCGCAATACCTACACAACACTAAATAATTCTTGCTTTCGCTTTAATTCTCTACGATTAGCTATTTAATTAACACCCCAATTACGCATAGTGTACTGGAGAAAGGGCATTTTATTTGTATCCTTACGCACTGTATAACGAAACGCTTCAGCATTATACTGTAAAAAAGGCAGAGTTCATCTGGACGTGGAGAATATTGCCGTATTGTATTCCCTAGCATTTAATACCGGTCATGTCGCAATATGCGGTAACTGCAGTACACGGCCTGTTACTACTGACTTCGATCTAAAAGGTGAAAATATACAAGGAGCAGATTTGACTAGCGATTTTTTTGTAATCCAAAGCCAGAAATCCCCTTCTAAAAGCACGTCGAGCCACGGAAGCTCTATTTTGTTTGGCCTCGCTCATGTTTACATTTACGCTGAATTAACACCAGGAAAATGATTTAATATTAGGTCAAAGAATAAAAGAAAATTTAATATGAAAGTATATTGTAGCTTAATTCTTACAATGTTAGAGATGACAAATTGCACACGATCACGAAGTCTTTTTTCCGACGGACAAAAATCCTGATGTGTTGGAGAAATATTTGGCATTCGCTTCATTCACCTTCGTCTCTGCCGCCTGAGGATTCACGATTTCCAAACCCTTGAAACGAAATATATAAATTAACTTAAGTCTACTTTACTTCTTATTAAAAACTGTATAAACTCAAATAATTAACGACATCAATATCGCAATATAAGAATGCAATTTGAGAGAAAATAAAAAAAATATTGTCTCTTAATATGTCTGGAGACCCACATTAATAAAAGCGCAGCGCAAATATGTCAGTGAAATGCATCGATCTTGAAAACGTGCTCCACTTGTAGGCGAGTATATCAGAAAAAGGCGTCGTAACGTCGATTATTATCACAATGCAAAACGCGTCTAATGATGATTGCCAAGTGGAAAGAGGTAAATGACTTGCTCAATGTCAACAAGTATTTCGATGATTACGAGAGAGTTGGCATTCACCTGCTTTTTTAAAACAGTTTACTACACTTCCCAAGTGAGCGTATATTGTTTGTAGATCAGATATTGAAACCACTTAGAGAAACTTTGTTAATACATTATATACTAAAAGTTATGTCATATTACATCGAGTATATAATTGACATCGTGTGGTGAAGTCACAGAGATCAAATTTCTTCGTCTAGACTGTGACAGGCTCCAGTGCATCGTGGGATATTTCTTTAGTCCGAGCTCAACTCACAAGAAAATCAGCGGAGAACGTTCTGTATAGGATGTTTGATGTATACATGTTCAACAAATAACCCAATGCATTAAGCGGTTTAGAGACAGTCTCCATCTCGTCAGACAACTTCAGCACCGTCATAGAGGGTAGACAAGTAAGTTAATAACGAGCAATGACTGTTCATTTGCACGCAACACTTTAGTGGCTTTATTAATTGCAAATCGGTATCATTACCCATTGACTTGTCAGGCGTGTTAATATTGTAAATAAAACATGTTGGCCAAGCATTATCTCTTATTATACAGAACAGATAGAAACATGCGTTATACCAATGTTTTATAAGGGATAAGCACGGCTGCGATTAGCTCTAATGGCAAAATCGTTGCTTTAAAATCCATTACACGTCTAATAAGCATCCTAAAAGTGGTTATGCAAATTGATTTTACATCAGAATTCAGAGCATCACTTTCGGCATTTCAATATGTTAAGAAATAATCTAATATTTACGAGCGTAATGACTGGTGACATTCAATAAACCAATCTTTAGATAAATGAACAGTAGGATAAGTAAAATTGTATCGTAATGATAGGACAGCGTAAACGAATGCCTACAAAAACGGTAATTCAAGAGATATCACGCACGACCCGCGGGCGCGTAATCTTAGCGATTGCTATCTAGTGTCGGCCGGCAAAATAGCCTTCGCTGTAATAGCCCTAGTGCATAATGCAGGTGATATGGCCATTGACACGAAGAAATCTTAAATTTCGCGATTGGTTACACCGTTTTGTTGCACAATAACATGTTAAAATCTTTAACATTAATCTTCCACAACAGTTTCAATTAAAACTTTTAAATAATTAATATAAAGAAGAGATTTTGCTCGGCACCGATTTCCACATTAGTAGCGGATCAATTTATTAATAATGCATGATTTCAGACTAAAGAAAACGTTTTAATAACAATAATTGAATATCCTATATTGTAATGTAATTATAATGTGGAATATGAAAATTTGGGAATTTGTGCGTCACACCGGGTTTTATCCCTTATCTCGTAGAATGTTTTTCATATATTACATGAGAAATGCAAGTACCTAAAAGAATGTCTGTCTGTCTGTGTTATTGCAAAGGGCACCGTAGCACAAATACCAACAGCGAAATGTAAACGGTGAAAGTTCTAACGAGATCGTATGAAATACCAATTGGCCATTTTCCTTTTACTAAACTTTACGAGAGTGGCTCAAAGGAACTTCCAGCTGTTAAATGAAAAGCCCGGCCTTCTCTACTTTCTTATGGCGCTATGGGTCATATTAAAAGCGTCTACAATGCAGCTGAACGTTGGAGCATCGTTATATTTTATGGCTCGTAAACAATTTCATTCCAGTTGCGCAGACTGAAGCGAAAGGGGCAAAAAGCAAGCGCACGAGCTGTTTCATTGCATATACAATTATCTCTCTACTTTTACTATTCACAAAATTGTAAACCGCCTAATGGCCGAATGCTAATTAATAGAAATCACATAATTTTCATTTCTGTTTATGGTTAATAAAACATTATTTAATCATAATTACTTTAGAGATTAACATACATTATAATTACAAAATTGAGGCCGAGCGGGCGAATTATATCTTAAATGCCGAAAGATACGTAACTCAATCGATGGCCATCGAAGGCTCATTCTGACGATTAAAGCTTTACATCATTAACGTGTCTTAAACTAATTTTAATTTCACGATGTCCATTCTGTAATTTTAATTAATTCTTCAGCCCGAGCAGATGATTCTACCACGTCCAAGGTGTCGGCATTTTTGATGCAATGCATCCGCCGTATCTAATGAGCCGTGACTTGGATCGAACTGTCAAGACATTCAGACGGTAGAATCGAGTATTGTTTACGCCCTTTCTTGTTTTCTTATACAGATAGAAATACTTTTACGTCACAATAATATGATGACACACGGACACATTACGAATATATTATGTCAAATTATATAAATAACAGAACAGTTTAGTCTCGTCCCAATAATACGGTATAAAGGGAGTTAGAATATGAAACTGGTTGCAAAATCCGAGTATTACATCTCTCTAGATTTTTTTAGTGTCACTGAGAAGGAATGTTTAGCATACCCTATTTACAATCATTGAGTGTCTTTGTAGTGTTTTTGATTATACTGTATTTGAAAACAATAAACTTTTTAAACCTAACCTAACCGATTCCTACAACAAAAGGATTTTGCATAAAATAGGATTGAGTTCCCTCATTATCCCTAAAACAAAGCAACGGTCACGCGTGGCCGCCTCGCGCTGGGTCACCTTGTACCACACTCGTCACTTTTTGCACGTTCACGTTTCCCAAAATACGTTACCTGAAGCGGAGTGAAGGCCACCGAAGACGCCGTCCCCGACACCTGTCTCCTGATGCTGGTCGCGCCGCCGTACTGCTGCTGCTTTTGAAGGTTCTTCTGCAAGGTCTTACTGATGCGGACTTTGGTCTTTTCGTCTATTTGAGGCAACCGCACTCGACCGGTGCTCGACTTGCCGATCGTCCCGCGAGTGTAGCCCAGGTCTTCTTGGTAGGCGTCGTCTTCGATCTAAACATAAAGGTTCAGGCCGTAGTTCGGGTAAACTGGCTTTAGCAATACTATCACTGATGTCGTGCACAAACTACTTAATCTATTGAACATACAAAATTCCCTCGAGAATTCCAACTGCGAAGCGATTAAACAAAAGCAGACGAATCGTAACAGATTCGTGAATAATTCATAGAAAAAGTTCGCTCACGTTCCTCCTACACCACTGTGGCTGGCCAAACAATGAGGCCGAATACAGTGCACAAACTTTACAGAGGCACAGACAAAACGATTAAAAGATTGTGCATATTCATAAGTCATTCACAAGCGAGCGTTCGTATTGTTTTACAACTGTGCGGTTGAAAGTAATCGTTTGAACCACTACTAATACGTCGACTGCTACGGCACGGACGTCCCTCGCTCCACCAGTTCTAGTTCCGGTCTATTTGAAGAAGGCGAAAAAAGTAAGCATCCAGTGTTCCACACATCTGGAATCGCATTAGGCATTCTGCCGAGTTACCGCTCCGCATTTGCATATGCGATCGAGCGCAACCATTACGGCACACGATTATTTCACTTAAACATCTTACTATGTGACAAGACCTATTGACGGCCACGGTAAGTATTGGACGCGGGGCATTGAGAATGGCGAAATAATAAGTGCAATTTGTGCAACAGTTAGCTTTCAGCCTATAATAAAAGTTTACTGTAACCCAGTTTATTGCACAAGATTGCTCTGGCTCAACGCAACTCTAATTAACGCGAGCTTGTCTTTAAGTTATATTGTAATTATCGTTCGATTGTGTCGAGATGATTCGTTTAAAAGAAAATAAAAAAATATATCACTAAATCAATACCGGAACTAATCTGCGTCAGTGTACCTAATTAGTTTAAAAACCAAAAACCTGCCTTTTACGGCTTGTAAACAAAGTAGGACGCAATCCACGTATAATTTGCTAAGTACAAAACGACAGCGGACGGGCAATATTTATGAGTATCAAACACGTGTGAAGCCGCACAAAGGCTAATGGGATATAATTAAGTTCGGTTCATAATATTATCTTTAGGCTATTGCGAGTGGAGTGGAGTGGAGTGGAGAAGAGTGAGGCGGCGGAGGTACAATGAAAGGTGACAACTCACGTCGGCAAAGTTGAGGCGATTGGCGTTCTTCCTGAACTCCGTCATGGCGTAGCGCTCCTTCATCTTGCGCACCCTCTTGCCTCCTCGCTTCTTGCGGCTCTGCTCGATGGGCTTCGGCAGAGGCTTCATGAACTTCACGGGCGGCGGCTCCTGTTCGGGAGGGTGAGAGTTCGAGTGAGAGCCGACGGATACCACCGTTCAAACGACGAAGAGCACCCACTCACCTGCAACTTGTCCAGCTTCTTCTCGATGCCCTCCCTGAGCCTTCGCCCGACGAGGCCGTCGGGGCTCTCGTGGCACGAGTCCACCCTCGCGGCCAAAGTCACTTTGGTCGACACCAGCTTGGCCGCTTTGTATCGCAGCTCCTTTTTACATCACCACATCGTCACATCGTTAGGTACATTTGAAAATACATTTATTTTAACTGCAAAATGCCACTTTTCAACTAACTGAATGATCTGCCTCTAAACATCACTCGATCGTGTGAAAATTATATTAATAAACATTGCTTGCAAACAGTAAAACCTGATAATATAATTAATTTGAATTTTTCACAACTCAAGCTCATAATTTCTTAAGATTCTAAGAGGTAATAAAAATTGTTAATGGAAATATTCTTACCGGTGTTGTATCTTGAACAATTTGTGAGAAATAAATGAAGCCGGTGTGGGGCAAGGCAGCCGCTTGAGAGAAGCCAGAGAGGGTCTTCTTTTGCTGTCCGAGGGGCAGAACATTGCAGGCCGGCATTTTGGCCAATTTAGATAAACCACCTGCTATACCAAGTATTTTGGCAGCAGTTGATGCACCTGCAGAGAATTCCTATTTTATTAGAGAATATTTTATTGTTTATTTTATACTAGCAGAGATAGAAAGGGCAATTTAAAGCATTGATCATCATCCATATTTCACAGTATTAATCATATTTTAAAATTGTAAGTTTATACAACCAACCAACCAGTTTGGCCATATTAATACCAAAGTAACTATCCCAGAGGATTTTAAAAAGTCCACTGTCAATATGTGCACCTTGATATGAATATGAATTGTATAAACTTACAATTTTAAAATATGATTAATACTTGCAGGACTATATAAACCAGTCAGGTCTAATTGCGAGTCGAAATGTTGACAATTTAAACTCACCCACAATTGCCGTTACATTTGGTGCAATAAAAGTCATTCTGCTTTCAACATATTCATATATTCTAAGTTTATAGTTGTTTAGTTCAGAAGCCATGTCACAAGCTTCATAGATTTCATTCAACTCAACTTCAGTCAATAATTTTCTGATGACAGATGAAAAGAAATTTAAAAGATTATTAAAACAATCAAACCTTGATAAAAGGATCAAAATATATACTTCAAGAATATAGAAAAGAATTTACCCTTGTGTCGTGGAGGCAGTGACGGATACAATCATAATAGTTGCTTGTGTTAAAAAGCTTTGCAAAGTTTCATTGCTTTTGGCCTTGTCGAGATCATTACCCAGTTCCTTCACAGATCTAATGTATTCCAAAGGTGTCACGATTAGGGAGTCCAACTCGGGAAAACGTTTCTGGTATTTGTCACGAACAAATCTGTGAATAATCGCTGAAAATTGGAATTATTTCTATATCTAGAAACTAGTATGACTAGAAGTATAAAGTATATGAAATTAAGTCTTAATACCAATTTCTCCATCAATTTCAACTGCCACATTGTTAGCTTCCACAATCAGTTGATATTCTGGGTCAGACTCCATTAAACCAGTGACTTCCATTTTGTTTCTATTCTGCCCAACATTTCTTTCAATTTCTGTTATCACCTGTAATATTAGACCATTGCTAAGAACCTATTTTTAGGAGTGTTTATACGGTGTTTGGTTTATTACATTAGAATGAAAGGTTTAGTACAAACAACAAATGCAAGTTATAAACACTTATTAGACATACCCGCTTTAATCTATCTGAATCTCTTAACTTAGCAAGCTCTCTAATTGAAACATTTTTTATTTCTTCTTCTTTTGGTACCATGGGAAAGGGTACAGCAAATTGATCATTGTTTGCCGTGGTTTTATTTTCTATAGCCAATTCAAGGTCTAGGTCGTCGTTTTCTTCCAGATCAGCGAGCAATTCGTCCGCAAGAGACATTACAAAATAGTTTTAAAGTTACACGTTAAATGACAAGATAGTTTTTTTAAATAATAAAATATATTGTAATTTGTGTTTGTTGATTGTTCCTAGAGTTCAAGTTAAGCTTAAAAGTTGACTAATAAGTAATAAATATGAAATACACTCTAACGCCGTAATCTACACTCTACAGTCTACACTCTATTTTATTATACTAGTAACTGGTTATTGCCTATTGGTTAAACTTTAAAGTAAAAAGTTAAAAAGTTAATACTTCAGTCACGTCATGAATCATGACATCACTAACATAACATATCATGACAGAAATGTTGACATTTGACACATTGGTTACTGCACTGAAGCACTATAGAGTATAGTCCTTTTTATGAAAGAAGTCCCCCAGACGCAGCGCTGTAATCGCGTGACGTAATGTTGCCATTTATGAGTAAAAAAATTACCTATTTTACATTTAGCATATTTAATTTATCAAATAATACTATTTTCTGCATACTTCGATGAAACAATATTTCTGTTATGTAAAAATTATATTTTTATTTACTTATATAAGCGGTGTTCTACTTAACTCCGTGTCCTTGCTCCGATTTTAAAGTAATATAATACAGCTAAGTCCCGCAATCAATACCAGTATATGGATAGTATACCTATACGAGGTGATGTTAAAAAAGCCCTATCTCCTACCGTTCCCGAGTTATTCCCGGTTTTATGATGTAACTCTTCCCGCCAACTTTTCTCCGCCACTACTGGGTTGTTTTCAATTTTTTAAACGGCGCCTTGAAAGACTCGACGGGAGCTTCCTGAAAATATGTCGCACGTCTTCTATATCCCACTGGAACACCGACCACGTGCTACGTGGTTTTGGGGTTTTTCTTAATAACTTTTTTTGTTTACTGTCCGAAAAATCTGGTTGACCCCTCGTAAAGTGCAGCTTTACGAGTTCTATCTTAGGGTGAGATCTATAGTGCGCACTTAGACTTTGCTCTGACTTAAATCGAGCTAAGACACAGTCGGTATTTATAGACAAACTGCGAATCTCTCCTAGTGTTGGCTAGCATCTCAAGTAAACAGATAAAAAAATAAATAAAAATATGCCCAAAATTTGTTTAATATATCTTTTATGGACTTTTTATTTTTGTCGGTTTTATAAGTGTTGCATTTTTATAGTTCCATAACTTGGGAAAAATAAATTTGAATTCAAAGAATTAAAATTTTGATAAATACCTAAATATGAATTAAAATAATTAACATATATTTATTATTGTTTATTTATATTATTATTAATTGTTCAAACCCAAGAAATCTTAAAAATACTGGTGTGATTTGTATGTCACCTGGAGCTGAATTTATGACAATAAAAAATAAATCTCTAATATCTTTATTTTCTTTAATTTCTACCATTTATTACTATACTCTAAAAATTTAGATAGGAGTGGAAAAATTAAAAAAATCTGTTGAAATAAATTTTTCAAAAAAATTAAATTATATTAAAATATTAAAAAAGAATAAATAAATATTAAAATGAAAAAGTTTTGTTTTGATATTCTTATTAAAAAATACCTAGTTAAATTTGAATAAACGAATAATGTAAGAGATTTTTGTTTCTGTTTAATTTTAAATTTATAGATTTTTACTTTTAAAAAAAGTTAATTTATATAATATATTGTCAATTTGATGTAGTCATAAAAAAATTTTTTATAATCAAAAAACTTAAAAAATATGCTAGTTCATTTGAGAATAATTATAAATATTGTATTTTATATTTAAAAGTTTGTTAACGAAGTTAAGTCTAAATACTATAAAAAGATTTTTAATATCTTAAATAATATAAATATTTCAATACATAAATTAAAAAAATACCTTGTTTTAAGTGAGCATACTTCGGTTATTAATTTTATATAATATATACTAGGCCATGTGAGTATTAGATCTTCTATTTTAAATTTTTGTTGTTCTATTTCTTAGAAAATTTACAAATTAGGAAGTAATTTACTCAACCTGCAGAGACTTTATTTATAATTAAACAATGTAGATTGGCTAGCTGTTCATACAAAATTTAATGTAATAAATTATTATTAGTCACATTATTTATGTTTCTGAAAGTCAGAAGACAAAAGTGTATTTAAAATCAGAAGAGGTATTTTCAAATAAAAAAAATTAAATATTATAAAATCGAATAATCGATTAATTATTCTATTTAATTTTTCTTAAATAAACTCTTTCTTTTATATTTAAGTCATTAAAAAAATAAATAAGTTTCGAATTAGGAGTTAATAGGTATACGATCAATTGGTAGGTAATACAAACAGTGTTGTTTTGAAGAAAGAATTAATATTATAATCTAAAAAAAAAGAAAAAGTGGTTTAAAATTTTTTGTGATAAAGTGCTTGTTGCTGTTGTCAAATGATCCGTTTATAATAAAATTTTGTCATCTTTAAATAATTAATACATTTTCTAAAGGTTACTCTAAATTTCTATTATTGCAATAATAAAATAAATGAATAATAAATAAATAAATTGAAGATATATTGTACGTTTAGATGTTTAAATATTTGTTATTGTTTACTTTTTTAAAGGATAATAAACAAAGTATTATGAAATAAAAATTGTATTTTGAATTTTCTTCTTATTGGTTAGTTTAATCTCACCTAAAATATAAAAAATTAGAACCTTAGTAATAAGCAAAGTTTCGTAAGGTAAGTCTGAGCAAAGTCCAAGTGCGCACTATAGATCTCACCCTTAGTATATTTAGTATAGGGGTTACCGCTTTGGTTTTTGAGTAATAATCTGTTTTGTTATTTTATTAAGAGGTTATTTTTGATTTTTGGCTCTCTTTTTCCTCGGTGTCAATAATTTTGTGCGATACACTGTAAAAATCCAAATAACGTGACGTGTCGTTACATGCAGCTCAAAAAGGCGCATCCAGCGACGTTGGTCCTCACTGCCCGAACGTAAAAAAGGATTGATGTGTTTCTTGTGTTCCTCTTTAAGAGGAAGTTCACTTGACTTAAAACATAAGTTAAATCTACCAAGGTATTTAAAATCTTGTAAACAAATATAATGTCGATGATAAGGCGGCGCCTATCGCGGAGTGATTGCAAGTGATGGAAAGCTAGTCTTTTTTCATACTCGCATTTATAGCTAATGTTATTATTTAATCGGCATAGATGTTTGGAGAAATGGCGGTTAATTCGTTCAATTCTGTCAACATGGACAGAATATTCAGGGTTCCAAACAACACTACCACAATCCAAAATGCTACGGACCAGAGAATTGAAAAGTATGATTTTAGGCTTTACATTTTTAAAACACTTAGTCGACCGCCTTATGAAACCTAACATTCTAAAAGCTTTATTGACTATTGCATTATAATGAGATATGAACGATAAATTACTATCTAGTATTACTCCTAAATCCCTAATTTCATGGACCTGGAAGCAGTATTAGTAGTACTCCGTCGATAGTGTATTTAGAGGGGACTGGTAGTTTCTTTACAAAAAGAGTAAATAGGACAGGACCAAGATGAGAACCTTGTGGAACACCTGATGTGGAAGTGTATGATTGCGATTCTATACATCCAACTACCACAAACTGAGTTCTATCTGTCAAATATGACGCAAAAAAACATTATGTACGAGTTCTAGTTGAATAGAACGTAAAAGTCTTTAGAATAAAATGCACTTTTGGAACAAATAAAACTAAAAGCTTTTAGTAAGCAACAAACTGCAATTTCCGATAAGGTTTTAACTCCTTTTTACGGCACTTCACTCAAACGGTTTAGTTATGTCTAAGAAAATTCTATTTGTAGTTGGCATACACTATTCACATTTATTTGTACATACACAGAAACACCAATAAACTATTATTGGTGTTTCTACCCCTAGGTTTTTGAAACTACTTCTATTCTACACACCTACTACTACTTTTCTTCTACTACTTCTATTCACTACTTCTACTAAGTAGATGTGGATGATGTAGATTTAATAATTTAGGCAAAACAATATTATAATTATTGTTATCAGAAATAAAAAGTTTGTTATCATATCTATATTTTTATTTCCATCGAGCCTGTTGTCCATGTCAGTAATTCCAGATCTCTTGTTGTCCGTGATGTATTTCCAGAACGCATTTTGTCCAAAGTTTAAGTGTTGATTGTAAAATAACATGATTAGTACATATTATTATATCGTTCCGATTGAAAATGACTATTAAAATGGACTAGAAAAATGCAATTCGAAGAGGGAAACGTCCCTTTAAAGTGCTCGAAGAAAATTATTACGCCAATAAGTATAACTTCTAACGCGTGTACATAAGTAAACACACGATTTTTTTTTTTTTTTTTTTATATCTATGACAAACTCTGTACAGGGGACATACCGTGAGCTTTCTTAAAAGAATCCAGTTGAGCTGATGAGTTTAGGTTCCTACATTCAATAGTTGTTGTACCATGACTAAAACTGTATTATGAATGAACTACATGAATAAAATGACTTAGCTTTATTTGTGGTTTCTATGAAAGTTCTGAAATTTTACTGCCAAACATGTTCGACTGAAGATTCTATAATAATAATAAATAAAATCATAAAGTTATTTGAAATAATTCATCAATCACAATGTAATAACATACTATGTAAGTTATAAATATATATTTTAGTTTTATAATTATTTAATTTAATTATTTATTTATATTTAATTTAATTTAATTTAATTTAAATTAAATATATATATTTTGTTTATATGGCGCTGGTGCAATGATTTGAGTTGTTGGATGTATGAGTTGTGTTGTAAGGAAAGAGAGAGCGGTCCTGCAGTATGAAGGTTTAGTTTTTATATACTAGATGGCGCTAGATGTTAAGTAAAACGCGATAGCGTTAGATGGCAAACACAACATAAGAAGTCACTGCTTGTATATTACGTCTTCGACGAGGTTAGGTTAGGTTAGGTTAGGTTAGGTTAGGTTAGGTTAGGTTAGGTTAGGTTAGGTTAGGTTAGGTTAGGTTAGGTTG